AAATACAAAATACTACCATCACATGTAGCAGGTTATGAGTAAGGCAAATAGATTGTTCATCTTCATTTCAAGGGAAATGCAACTGTAAAAATCAGAAAGTCTGGCTAAAACTATATAAGACACTATTCAGACCACAGCTTGAATACTGTGAATAGGTTTGGGCGCCTTATCTGAGGAAAGATATACTAGCATTGGAGACAGTCCAGAGAAGGTTCATTAGGCTGATACCAAGTAAGGAGGGACTGTCGTCTGAGGAATGGTTGAGTAGATTGGGTAGTTACTCATTATAATATAGAAGATTGAGAGGTGACCTTACTGAAACACACAAGATTCTGAGAGAACTTGAACAGGACAGATGTGGAAAGCTCATTTTGGAGACCATTAGAGGCTGGGTCATTAAGTATATTCAAGGCAGAGATAGATATTTAATCAGTAAGGAATTTAAGGAGAAGGACAGGAAAGTGGAGCTGAGGATCAGATCAGCCATGATCTTATTGAATGGTGGAGCAAATTCAGTGGACTGCGTGGCATGCATCTTCTTCAACTTATGGCTTCCATTCTATACAAGTCCAAAGTTCCACAAATGTTTGCCTTCCTTTAATACCCTCAGGCTGGCTTGTGGTTGGCAAGAGGATATCCTAGAAGGCATGGCTAGCAATCCCAGGTATTCACTCGTGTCATCATTGAAAAGACAATTTGCCTTCTGTTTGCCACTGCATTCTAGGGTCTCCAGAATAGTGTTTTTTATGACCTCCGCTACCTGGCTCAATGACAGAATGACAGTTTAGAAGTGGACAAGATGGTGTATGAACTATTGAGTATTGTAGTTCCCTTGCATGTTTTAAGTCTGAACCCCATCAGATATGTGAAAGTCAGGAGCGTGGTGCTGCAAGTAGTGCTAAAATTTGTAGCTTAATTAATTGCACGCGAGGTATCAGATGGAGATACCTGGCACCTAATCTGTACAGTGTCAAGATTCATAGGGGCACGAAGAATTGAATAGACAATGGTATAAATCCTCACAGAGTTCCCTGTATCATTTACTGTTTTGTGACACTGGAACAGGTTCTCTTGGGCTGTCCGTGGTTGCTGACCTCTGCATCCGCTTCCATTCAGGATGCCTTCATCAGACAGGATCGCATATTCTTGTCATTCCAGGTGGAAAGCATTTCCCATCCTGGACAGCTTTCAGGAGAACCTCCATGGAATCATTGCTGAACCACAGTGCTGTGTTTTGCTGGATCTCTGGCATTTTCAGACATGGTAGAGGGGGATGAGATTGCTCCTTGGTTGTAGAAAGCGAAGTACTGTATGGGTACCATTTAAATATGGTGCCTGTAAGGGCCCAGCATGGGGGCAGAATTTTCTGCCCATAAAATATGATGCTTCACCTGCGCGTGAAAATGCACAGAGTCAAGAAGAACAGAATGCTGTGAGAAAACCCAACCTGACTGAATGGAAGTGCCTCCTGCATTTAGGCTCATCTCCACACTTAGTCTCAAATAAAAAGATTCTGCAAGCCAACAAAAGCGACACAATCGAAAAGGAACATGCATCCTCCTGCATCTGAAGATTTTGCTTTGGAAGTTACAAATGACAATCAAACGTAACAATTCAACAACTTTTCCTGAATGTACACATTCAGCAACTGATATACCTTGTTGGTATTACCTTTACAACAAATTATGTGTTACTGAAAACAAACTTCCACTATTCAATGAATATTCAACTTCTTACCTTAATTTCTCATACAGTCCATTAACAGAGCAAGATATGGCAATAGCTGGGTCTGAAGGCAATATGGGGCTGAAGAGAAATTTGAAAAGAATCCTTTGGCTGCAAGACAATTTTCTTTATACTTTTTACTTATTGATCACACCTAGAATACTGTGAATGTATTTAATCCCCTTATCTAAGGAAAGATATGTTCACATTGGAGGTAGTCCAGACCAGGTACACTAGATTGATCATAAGATCACAAGACCATAAGAAATAGGAACATGAGTAGGCTATTTGACACCTCAAACCTGCTGTGTCATTCAATAGGATCATGGCTAATCCGACATTTTTCACATCCACTTTCCTGTGTTTCCCTATAACTCTTGATTGGCCTACTGAACTTTGGAAATAAAACCAGTCTGACTCCAAATTGATACACAGCCAGATTCTAAACAAGGCCTCACACCTAAAATGCATTGTCTGACCTGAGATGTTAGGTCTGGCATACTGGTGAAACCTTTAGTTATCTCGGGGCAGTAACTTGAAAGAAATTCTGGGATTTGCATATTAATCCTTTCTAACTGATTAAAGATTTAGTAGCCATCTTAGGTTTGTTCAAAACATTTGCATCAATTCTATGACCCTTTGACCTTTTGCTTACAAATTCTGTGTCTGATGCCACGTCTCTCATTGGCACCAGAAGAAGGAGCAAGACTCCGAAAGCTTGTGTCTTCAAATAAACCTATTGGACTATAACCTGGTGTTGTGTGATTTTTGACCTACTGAACAAGAATCTATCTATGGTCTGGCAGCATCTGTGAAGTAAAATCAGAGTTAATGTTTTGGGTCCAGTTGTGAGGGAGGGTCACTGGATCCAAAACGTTAACTCTTTTTTTTCACAGATGCTGCCAGACTTGAGCTTTTCCATCAACCTCTATTTTTGTTCCTGAATCACAGCATCCACATTTCTTTCAGTTTTTATTAAGAATCTATCTATCTCAGCCTTAAATATACACAAGGACTCTGTTCCCACAACTCTCTATGTTCCAAAAATTCACAACCTTCTGAGAGAAAAAAAACCTCCTCATCTCAGTATTAAATTGGCATCTCTTTATTTGAGATTTTGCACTCTGGCCCTAGACTGTCCCATGGGGGGAAACATCTTCTCAGCATTTACCTGGTCAAGCCCCTTGAAAATCCTATACGTTTCAATGAACTCACCTCTCATTCCTCTAAACTCCAATGAGTTCCAACCTGTTTAGCCTTTGCCCATAAGACAATCCCTCCATACCAGGATCATCCTAGTGCACCTTCTTTGAACTGCCTCCAATGAAATCATGTCTTTCTTTCGTTTAGGGAATGAAAACATTGTAACCCAAATGTGTTCTCATCAGCACTTTGTAAAGTTACAGTAAGACTTCCCTACTCTTATACTCCAACCCCCTCAAAATAAGTGCCGACATTCTACTAATTTTCCTAATTATCTCTTGCACTTGTTTGCTAATGTTTTGTACTTCTGTGATCTTGGTATAGAGGGATTTTCTTAGAAGAGGTTGAGTAGTGTGGTTTGTTCTCATCAGAGTTTAGGAGAATGAGATGAGACTTTATTGAAATCTATAAAATTTTTTTGGGGTTTTGACAGAGTAAATGCAGAAAGGTTGTTTCCCTCTCTTGGGAGAGTCTGGACTAGAGGGCATAATCTCAGAATAAGGAGTTGGCCATTTAAAATAGAGATGAGGATTTTTGTTTTGTGGGAGGATGATAAATCTTTGGAATTCTGTGCCACAGAGCGCTGTCCTGGGTGGGTTATTAAGTACACTCAAGGCTGGGACAGACATTTTTAATCATTAAGGGAATCAAATGTTGTGTGGATAAAGCAGGAGAGTGGAGTTCAGGATTGTCAGAACAGATCACGGATCAACGGGACTTCATGAAATGGCAGAGGCGCTGAATAGCCTACTTCTGCCTCTCTGTTTTATGGTCTGATAGTATTCTTCGAAAGATTGAATGGCCTCCTTCAGTACCAGATATGACTTTATGCTGAACTCTTAGCAATAATAAATCTGAATCAGCATCCATAACATAAAATTTAGATATAAGATTTATTTTAATCATGAAGGAATTTTCAACTTTTATCCTGATGGACAGCAAAGAACTTGGAGAAAGTGGTAATTTTTCTTCAGAATTGAAGGCACCAAGCCAAAAATTGTCCATCAAGTTAACGATCAATGGAATTAGGAAGTGGCCTGTCTTCAGAAACCTATTACAAGTTTTCCATCAGCGCAGATCCAAGCTGCGCAAATTCGAAGAGTTTTAATTTATGCAAGATTATCGCCACGATGCAGTTCACTTTATGAACTGGTTTTAAAGTATGCTGCACAGTGGAGATCATTTATTACATCCACAGTGCAACACATGCTTTTTGTTACTCAAATCATCATTAAATAAATCGGGAAGGAATTTGGAAAACTGGCCACTAATGTTATTACGTAGGGGATTACACACATAGATCTTTTGTTGTCTGTTTTCTACCAGTAAATATTCAACTTGCAGGCAAGTAGTTCCACAGTCGACACAGCGAATGCTGCTGGTCAATCGTGAAGCGTATGTCTGTACTTTGTTTGAAAAGCCTTGATTACGTAAATTATGTACATCCTTGCGTTGGGAGGAACAATCCCTTACTACTTTAGTTCTTTTGGGTTTTTTTAAACACTTAAAAGTACTCATTGTAGATGATATGCTTGATATTCCACTCTACTCCATAAGGGTATGTTTATGTTACTAAAATTTTTGCAAATGGCTTAATCATCAGAACTTCTGCAGAAATTCGCGGCCGCAACTTTTTTTTTATGCAGAACTGCGTCGCAATGTTGCATTAAGTAAGGCCTGTCCTTGCACGAACATTCAAATAAAGTAGAACGAGACTCCCTATGAGGTTAATCGCTTCAGCATTTTACACGTTTGGTATTACTGCGTAGAGGATCTGCTTTATTGAACTTGCAGTATAAATGCATCGCACTCAAGTTCTTCTCGAATAATTAAGGATATAAAAACTAGTTATTTTTGCATCACTTTCACAAAACGTTGGTGGATGAAAATGCGCTAACCGAGGAAATATTTCATTTTCACTATCCCTAATCATTCCGAAATATTGCCCACTCGTTTTACAATCAACACAGATTGTAGTTTCGAGGCATAGCGTTGTCGAGTTTAAAATTAACATATTCAATCCGATTTGCTAATTTACGTGTACGAGCTCTTTATTTAGGGGGAGGAAGATTTGATACAATTGCCAGAGGGTGGGGTTAGGCAGCTTTTAAAAAAATCAGAAGGATAAGCACGTGCTCAGTTCAGCTCCGGCGAACTCAAAAGTTTGAAAGGAAGTAGTCGGGAAGAAAGATGGCTTTATCCGTCTGTAATTGCCTCATCAGTGAACGCGTAGATGCCAGCTGCAAGAAGATTCTAGAAGAAAATGGCATCAAAGTGGTCCAGAGGGAAACAATGACCAAGAATGAGCTCCTAGCTGAAATTAAGGTACGATTCAAAGTTCTAAAAAAAATTGTTCGAGTCTTTATGGTGAAGTCTGTCAGGTATTTGCAGTCACGATGATGTGTGTAAACAGTGTGATTTCAATTGGGTGGGATATGACGATAGATTTGGCTCTTGAAAAGGCTCAATTGATCGAAAGTTAATAGTACAGGAGAATACTACCTCTTTCATCCTCTAGTTAGGACAATAAAACGTCAGAGCTGGGTTGTGGGAGCAGCCAGCAACGTTGAATCCTCGGAACAGTTGCTCCCAAACATTGTTTGTTGATTTTTTTTTTATTTGTCGTTATGTGTGAACTGTAGTTGTATTGTACCTGATATCGCGGCGCCGTCTCCTGGATCACCAACCCACCATCACCCTCTTTTTCTGATGCAACATTGCCGAAAGGTTTCCGAGCCCAAACCAACAGCGGTCACTCGGACTGGCGTCGAACCATAACGATACGATGTGCGTTAGCGACAGATCGCCAAGATTTTTCCAAAAGTAATTTCAGAATCCCCTCCCAAACATTGCCTCGAATTTTGAAATGGCTTCAGCGAGGTTTTACTATGAACAGGGGAGATTTTTAGCTTATTCCCTCTATCTTAATTTGATTATTATTCATTACATGAATCCAAATCAAAGCAAAATGAACCAAAACCTTGACGCCCATGTTTGAAATTTCAAGTTGATAAATAGATTTTTCTCGCAAAAATATCAGTCCACAATTACAAAAGTTATATCATTGAAGACTATGTGCATTTCTCATTCCATTTTCGAAAAATGGAGTACTAATATAAATTGCATATGCTGTATAATTTACTGTCGATCCCACAAGGAACAATGCCTGCTTTCCTTTCATGTTTCAGTCTATAATCTTTATTCTCATTTTTTTAAAATGCTGTTTTACCTTTGTTTGCACTATGGCTTGGTAAAGTGAGCAGGTGAATTATACTGAAAAGAAATTGCTCATGTTTACAACTGTTAAATTATTTTTTATCCTCCTCCAGAAAGAAAACAAGTTCTCCACCTCCTTCACAATAGCTATTGAAGGGTCACCCTACTGTTTCTCACGTTCTTCCTTGTTAGCTTTGTTCCACTTCTTTCTTTCCACTTCTATTTTTAAACTCCTTTCACTTCTGGCTAACCGAGCAATGAATAGATACGTTGTAATGTTATCTGTTCAAATAGGTTATAATACATACTGGGTGGCCCGATGGCTAGCAGTATTTTGGCTAGTAGTGGTTAGTACTACTGCCTCACAGCACCAGGGACCTGGGCTTGATTCCAGCCTTGGATGGCTGCCTGTGTGGAACATAAGAACCTGGAGCGGGAGTTGGCCATCTGGCCCTACAAGCCTGCTCCGCCATTCAATAAAATCATGGTTGATCATTTTGTGGCCTCAGCTCCACTTACACACACTCACCATAACCCTTAATTCCTTTACTTTTCAAAAAATTATCTGCCTTAACTATAAAAACATTCAATGAGGAAGCCTTAACAACTTCAATAGGCAGTGAATTCCACAGATTCACAACCGTTTAGGTGAAGAAGTTCCTCTCGATTCACTCCTAAATCTACTCCCCCTAATTTTTGAGGCTATGCCCTCTTGTACTAGTTTCACCCCCCAGTGGAAACATCCTCCCTGCTTCTATCGTATCTATTCCCTTCATAATTTTATGTTTCTATAAGATTCCCCCCTCATTCTTCTAAATTCCAATGAGTATAAGAGACAACAAGGTGCAGGGCTGGATGAACACAGCAGGCCAAGCAGCATCATAGGAGCAGAAAGCCTGACGTTTCGGGCCTAGACCCTTCATCAGAAAAGTGGGAGGGGAATGGGGTTCTGAAATAAATAGGGAGAGAGTGGGAGGCGGATAGAAGATGGATAGAGGAGAGGATAGGTGGAGAGGAAACAAACAGGTCGAAGAGGCGGGGATGGAGCCAGTAAAGGTGAGTGTTGGTGGGGAGTTAGGGAGGACGGACAGGTCAAGGGGGCGGGATGAGGTTAGTCGGTAGGAGGTGGGGGTGCGGCTTGAGGTGGGAGGAAGAACAGGTTAGGGAGGTGGGGACGAGCTGGACTGGTTTTGGGATGCGGTAGGGGGAGGGGAGATTTTGAAGCTTGTGAAATCCACATTGATACCATTGGGCTGCAGGGTTCCCAAGCAGAATATGAGTTGCTGTTCCTGCAACCTTTGGGTGGCATCGTTGTGGCACTGCAGGAGGCCTAGGATGGACATGTCATCTGAGGAATGGGAGGGGGAGTTGAAATGGTTCGCGACTGGGAGGTGCAGTTGTTTATTGCAAACCGAGCGTAGGTGTTCTGCAAAGCGGTCCCCGAGCCTCTGCTTGGTTTCCCCGATGTAGAGGAAGCCATACCGGGTACAGCGGATGCAGTATACCACATTGGCAGATGTGCAGGTGAACATCTGCTTGATGTGGAAAGTCTTCTTGGGGCCTGGGATGGGGGTGAGGGAGGAGGTATGCGGGCAGGTGTATCACTTCCTGCGGTTGCAGGGAAAAGTGCCGGGTGTGGTGGGGCTGGAGGGGAGTGTGGAGCGGACAAGGGAGTCACGAGAGAGTCACAGATAAGGGTGGGGAGGGAAAAATGTCTTTGGTGGTGGGGTCGGATTGCAGATGGCGGAAGTGTCGGAGGATGATGCGTTGGATCCGGAGGTTGGTGGGGTGGTACGTGAGGATGAGGAGGATTCTTTTTTGGTTCTTATTGCGTGAACAGCAACTCATATTCCGCTTGGGAACCCTGCAGCCCAATGGTATCAATGTGGATTTCACAAGCTTCAAAATCTCCCCTCCCCCTACCGCATCCCAAAACCAGTCCAGCTTGTCCCCGCCTCCCTAACCTGTTCTTCCTCCCACCTCAAGCCGCACCCCCACCTCCTACCAACTAACCTCATCCCGCCCCCTTGACCTGTCTGTCCTCCCTGGACTGACCTATCCCCTCCCTAACTCCCCACCTACACTCACCTTTACTGGCTCCATCCCCGCCTCTTCGACCTGTTTGTTTCCTCTCCACCTATCCTCTCCTCTATCCATCTTCTATCCACCTCCCACTCTCTCCCTATTTATTTCAGAACCCCGTTCCCCTCCCACTTTTCTGATGAAGGGTCTAGGCCCGAAACGTCAGGCTTTCTGCTCCTGTGATGCTGCTTGGCCTGCTGTGTTCATCCAGCCCTGCACCTTGTCTCGGATTCTCCAGCATCTGCAGTTCCTACTATCTCTGATCCAATGAGTATAATCCCAGTTTACTCGGTCTGTCCTCATAAGCCAACCCACTCAACTCCAGAATCAACCTAGTGAATCTCTGCAACCCCTCCAGTGCCAGTACATCCTTTCTCAAGTAAGGAGACCAAGACTGCATGTAGTACTCCAGGTGTGGCCTCACCAGCGCCTTATGCAGCTGTTAGATAACCTCCCTGCTTTTAAACTCAATCCCTCTAGCAATGAAGCAATAACAAAATTCCATTTGCTGCCTTAATCGCCTGTTGCCCCTGCAAACCAACCGTTTGCAGTTCATGCACAAGGACACCCAGGTCCCTCTGTACAGCAGCATGCTGCAATTTTTTACCGTTCAAATAATCCTTTTTACTGTTATTCCTACCAAAATGGATGCCTTCACAACATGTTACTCCATCGGCCAGACCTTTGCCACTCAAACTATGTAATATCCCTCTGCAAACTTTGAGTCCTGTGCACGCTTTGCTCGACCACTCAAATTAGTGCCATCCGCAAACTTTGATCACTACAGGATGCAGAGCTGGGCAAAGCAGTTGCAGGTGGAATTCAACCTGGAAAAGTGTGAAGTAATTCATTTTGGAAGGTCGAATTTGAATGCAGAATACAGGTTAATGGCAGGATTCTTGGCAGTGTGGAGGAACAGAGGGATCTTGGGGTCTACGCCCATAGATCCCTCAAAGTTGCTACCCAAGTTGATAGGGTTGTTAAGAAGGCATATGGTGTGTTGGCTTTCATTGGCAGGGGAATTGAGTTTAAGAGCCGCGAGGTTATGCTGCAGCTCTATAAAACCCTGGTTAGACCACACTTGGAATATTGTGTTCATTTCTGGTCACCTTCTTATAGGAAAGATGTGGAAGCTTTAGAGAGGGTGCAGAGGAGATTTACCAGGATGCTGCCTGGACTGGAAGACAGGTCTTATGAGGAAAGGTTGAGGGAGCTAAGGCTGTTTTCATTGGAGCGAAGAAGGATGAGAGGTGATTAGATAGAGTGGATGCCCAGAGACTTTTTTCTCAGGGCGTAAATGACTATAACGAGGGGGCTTAATTTTAAGGTGATTGGAGGAAGGTATAGGGGAGATGGCAGAGGTAGGTTCTTTAGAGAGAGTGGTGAGTGCGTGGCATGCACTGCCAGTAGTGGTAGTGGAGTCAGATACATAGGGATATTTAAGCGACTCTTTGATAGGCACACGGATGATAGTAAAATGTAGGGTATACAGGGTAGTTTGATCTTAGAGTAGGATAATAGGTCAGCACAACATCATGGGCTGAAGGGCCTGTACTGTACTATACCATTCTATGTTCTTTGTACAGGTGGTCACCAACTCCAAATCATCAATGTAAATTGTAAACAATTGTGGTCCCAACACTGATCCCTGAGGCACACCACTAGTCACTGATCACCAACCAGAAAAGCACTCATTTATCCCTACTCTTTGCTTCCTGTTAGTTAACGAATCCTATCCATGCTAATATATTGTCCGTAACGCCTTGCACCTTTATCTTATGCAGCAGCCTTTTGTTCGACACCTTGTCGAATGCCTTTTGGAAATCTAGATACGCCCCTTCCACTGGGTCCCCATTGTCCACTGCACTTGTAGTGTCTTCAGAATTCCAGTAAATTAGTTAAACATGACCTGCCCTTCATGAACCCATGCAGCATCTGCCCAATGGCACAATGTCTAGATCTCTTGCTATTTCTTCCTTAATTGATTCAAGCATTTTCCCCACTACAGGAGTTAAGTTAACTGGCCTATAATTCGGCCTATAACCTTTTGTCTACCTGCTTTTCTAAACAGTGGCATCACACTTGCTGCGGAGTTTGCACGTTTTTCTTGGGTCTGCGTGGGTTTCTACTGAGCACTCTGGTTTCCTCACACAGTCCAAAGATGTGCAGGTTAAATGGATTAGCCTGAGTAAATGTGGGGTTACAGGGAAAGTGAGAGTCTGGATGGGATGCTGTTCGGATGCTTGGTGCTGACTTAATGGGCTGCACTGTAGGGATTCCATGATTCTTTGTCTGTGTGGGTTTCATCTGGGAGCTCAGGGCTCTTCCCACAATCTAAAGATGAGCGGGCTAGGTGGATTAACCATGCTAAATTGTCCAGGGATGTGCAGGGTAGGTAGATTAGCTGTGGGAAATGCAGGTTTACAGGCTAGGGGGTGGGTCTGGGTGGGATGCTGTTTGGAGGGACAGTGTGAACTCGATGGGCCAAGTGGCCTGCTTCCCCATTGTAGGGATTCTAAGTATATATCTTAAAATATTATAGAAATGTGTGATAATTATGATGTAAAATTTTTTGTTTTGTAAACTTGCAGGAAAAAGGCAGATTCAAATAAGAGTTCTAATGAATTTCTATTGTCATTAGGACTATGATGGTCTTATTATCCGTTCTGGAACAAAGGTTACTGCTGATGTCATAAATGCTGCAAAGAATCTGAAGATAATTGGCAGAGCTGGAACTGGAGTAGATAATGTGGATGTGGAAACATCAACAAGGAATGGAATCATTGTGATGAAGTAGGAATGATTAGAGCAAGTCTAAAATTTAAAATGTACTGAGCAAGCGATTTGCATAACATTGCTCTAAAAGATAACTAGCTTTGATATAGTATGCAAAAATTCATTTCGTTTATAGCATCTATTCCTGATATCCTTATTATTTAAACTAGAAAGAGTATTAAGAATCACTTGTATATTTATTTTACTACTTTCCATGTCATAATTGGAAACATTTAATTACAATTCTACAAAAAGGCATTTTCACACTCGAGAACTTATACAAGCATAATACACACGTCGGTGTTATTTTTGTATCACAATCTGATTTTTTTTCTTCCCAAAACTTCATTAGGAGAGTATATTAAGGGATTTTTTTATTTTGGAGGGGGGAGCAGAGTTTTGGAGCTCCATGTGTAAATCCTATGAATGTAAATCATGGCAATTTACTAAATGTATGTTAGTCTTCACATGCAGATCAATTTCTACATTTGTAGAAAGCTTTTTTTTTTTGGCTGTCAGTTCTGGATCAGGTGTCCAAGAATGCATTCAATGTTTTCACATTAACTGATCAAATTTAAGGAATATTTTTCCATCATAGCTTTTGATTTTGTAGTATTTGCAAATGAAGTAAATGCAAGTTGTTGATTATTTGGATTAAAATCACCATGTGGAGCAATATTTCTCAATTCTAAAATATTAAAGTAAATGAAGTAGAAATAGATAAATTCACTTGTAATTTATATTCCCTGAACAAGTTAATCCATGCTGTTCTTAGGTGGAATGCTACTTTTGCAATCCTTAAAAGATTAGCAACTTAATTAATTTCTTTTTCTTCAAAGCACACCGAATGGAAACACAATTAGTGCTGCTGAAATGACTTGTGCAATGATCATGTGCCTGGCCAGGTAAGGTTTGCAGACAGTTGTATATTCTGACTAAATTATTGATCCTATGCATCGTTAAGTTACAAAAATAATCCTTGTTTACAGGTGCATCTAAAACCATAGGTTACAAAACAGTTTATTATGTGTGTGGCTTGATGCCAGTATCATTGATATTCATCTGAGTTTTGATATCTAGAATAGTAACTGTAGCAAAGTTATTAGTGATTAAATCAAAGATGGCAATTTATACCATAGGAGCAAAGGTGTGTGCAGTTGGTTGGTAAGTTGATTCTGGCTGAGGAGTTGTAATGGAGAAAGCAACGGGAAGAACTACAATAGGCTGCCCACTTTTCTGGTAATCCATAAAAGCAGAAGGCTTGAGCATATTTTTGTTTGCAGAGCATAATTCCCTGTGTAAGAATCTTTGCTTCTAGTAAATATAAATGGTCCAATTACCAGTTTGAGTAATTACTTGAAGTTGGTTTAGTGTAGCTGTTAGCACACCCAGAATTGTTCAGCAAGTGTTACCCAATCTCAAAATCAAGTGATCGTTTTGTTCTAAGTTTTGGAAATGTGGGGCTGGTCGAACATGGCCTGTACTGTTTCTCTGTCTGATCATTGAATCAAACACCATGTGTCACTATCAGCCAGTCATTCAGACATATAGCCTCTGTACTCGATATCAGTGAACTACTCGGTAGCTTAGGAACCTATAGTTCTTTGGCTGAGGCATTGTCGTGGAGGGAGCAACAATTGGAATTAATTTCCCAACCAGTCACTGCCTCCTTTCTCCTGTGGTATAAATTGTTGTAATGGTTTGAAATTCTTGGATCCGTCCTGATGAATGCAAGATGTGAAACTTCAAGTTCTATCTTGTGATGAATGACCCTTCACTGAGTTTTGAGGTCAATATCTTATGCAATGACGTATTGAAATTAAGAACTTAGTACTCAAATTTTATATCAATAACTCAATGAGTGCATTTACTAGGGTTTACAAATCTCACTTCTGTCTTGATCTCTAATGCCTATTAGGTTTTGTCTTTTGCGGGATGCTATCCAGATAACTGTCAGCCCCCACCTCGCCCAAGTGCTAATTTCAAAGATTTAAAATTCATGTCTAATTGAACTGCAGTCATATTTGTCTAGATTTAGTTCAGATTATTGATTTTGGAGTTCCATGTACTTGATAGATGATTAGTATTTAGGGTTGAACAATGTTTATACAGACTGTGTGGTTTTTATTGGTAACATTAGGAATAGGGTGTGATAAGGTCACTGTTATTTTGGGGAGATGAATGGTTGACGATAAGGCCCAATTCTTCCACAGTAACAATTGAGTTCACAGTTTCTCAAGCATTATTCCTCAGACAGCACTTTCTAAACCCACAACCACTTCCATCTAGAAGGACAAGAGCAGCAGATATATGGGAACACTACCACCTTCAAGTTCCCCTCCAAACCACTTGCCACCCTGACTTGGAAAGATATCACCGTTCCTGCACTGTTGCTGGGTCAAAATCCTGGAATTTCCTCCCTAATGGCATTGTGGGTCAACTCGCAGCAGGTTAACTGCTGCAGTTCAAGAAGCCAGCTCACCACCACCTTCTCAAGGGCAACGAGGGTCGGGCAATAAACGCTGGTCAGCCAGTGACGTCCACATCGCACAAAATGAATGAATTTTTTAAAAAAGTGTTATCCATGTTCATTGGGTGCAATGACTGACTTGCTGCAGTAAAGGATATTCTTCTCTTTGACAGGAATGAGAATTGTTCTGACAGGAACTGCTAGAATGTGATACATATATGAATTGGTGGTCATCCACACATACTCAAAGACAGGCTAAAATTAACTTGTATTTTGTGTTCTTAGCACTAGTTTTCAACAGGCTAACAAAGAATTTATTGGGCCTCAAGCCTGTTTTGTGACTTAACGAGATTATGGCTGATCTTTATCCTAGCTCCGTTTAGCCACCCTGACTCTACTCTTTTAATGTCCTTGGCAAATTAGTTTCCTTGGAATGTCAGTTATATTCTCTTCCTCTTGTGAAGACTAAGATGCTGTAACTCTTTCAAGTTTGGCATTTCTTCATTTTTATTTACAATATTGATTTTTATTGGTTTTTAAGCAATCCATACTTGCCCTTTTCCTTCTAATATAATTAGACGAGCCTTCTGTGTTAACCTTGATATGCCTCTCAAAGTTTCACTGAATTTGGTGCACTTTTTGTCTTCCTTAGTTCTTTATATTTCTCACAATTCCCAGTATCTGTACAACTTTTCATACTTGTTTGCTGTTTAGTATTACGTCTCACTAGTCGTGTCAAGCATGATTGTTTCGGTAAGTGAACGTCCTGCCCCCGAACGGATGTTTTCTGGACCTGTATTAAGCTAAATTCTTTGAACACTTTCCATTGTTCTGCTGTAATTGTCGGTGTCTTGTCCTGTTCAAAGTTAATCTTGCCAAATTCTGGAAACTTGGGAGCCACGCCCTATTTCTCTTTTTCATACCCAACAATAAATCTGAATTTGTTATCATTCATTTTTTCCTCATTGTTAGATTATTAACTAAATTTGGTTTATTAATAATTATTAAATCAACATGACTTGCCCACTACTTGGCTGTTGAACACACTGGTTTAGAAAACCTCTGAATGCACTGAAATTTACTGGTGAGCTACCGTACTATTCCCAATCTATACAAAATATTAAGGCCTCCCAGCAAGTTCATTTTTGTGGAAGTATCTGCCCTTCTAGGTGTAAACTTCTATCACTTAGTCAAAGAAAATGGAGTATGCTTGCCTGTGTCTTTGCTGTATGACTTTGAAAAAAACTTTTCATGCTGACTGAGTGAAGGCATCTTCCAAATTTCACTTCACTTCTGTCTTGGCCTCGAAAGCCTATTAGATTTTGTTTCTTGTTGGATAAGTGTCCAGTTTTGTTCCCCTTACATTTTGGGGACAAGAAAAAGGCCCTGGAAAAAATGTATAGAAAGGCCCTTCAACATCAGTACAAGTTCAGAGAGTTGGGAACTTTTAATCCTGAGGAACAAAAACTTCAGTTATATTTGATTCCAGTCACGTGGATACTGCTTTATGTCTGTAGGCAATAGGGAAGTAGGAACATCAGTACAAGTTTTGAAAAGAGTTGGATTAGATGTGAGAAAGTAATTATTTTGAGCTGTCAAACTCTGGAATAAGTTGCCTGTACATGAGCTGAGCGTGGATATACCGCATACGTTCCAAAGACAACAGCGCGGAAACAGACCTTTTGGTCCAACTGGTCCATACCGATTGTAATCCCAAGCTAAAGCAGTCCCACCTGCCTGTGCTTGGGCCATATCCCTCCAAACATTTCTCATTCATGTACTTATCTAAATGTCTTTTAAATGCTGTAACTGTACCTGCATCCATCACTTCGTCTGGATGTTCATTACACATACGAACCACGCTGTTTTTATAAAGAAAAAACCTCAAACTTTTTCTCCTCTCAGCTTAAGTATGTACCCCCTCGCTTTAAACACTTCGCTTCGTCTCTGCTGTACCCTAGGGAAAAGACACTTGCCATTCACTTTATAACCCCTCATTATTTTAGAAATCTCTAACTTCCTCCGCTGCAGTGGAGAAATGTCCCAGCCTATCCAGCCTCTCCTTGTATCTCAAACCCTCCATTCCTGGCAACATCCTGATAAATCTTTTCTGAACCCACTCCAGCTTAATAATATCATTCCTGTAACAAGGAGACCAGAACTGGACACAGTATTCCAGAATAGCCTCACCTAAATCCTGTAGAACCTCAACTAACGTCCCAACATGGATTGGTTTGATTGAAGGGTCTGTTTCCATGCTGTATGACTCTATGACACTATGTAACTGGAGTGGAGAGCACTCCACTTGAGTGGGAGGTATCATCATGAATTATAGCAGTTACGTTTGTTGAAGTGATAGTGGTACTGGTTACCATGATCACTTGGGGCTCGTTTGATTGCCTGGGGTGCTGAGAGAGAAATTACCTAGAATTTTTCCATAAGCATTTTCCATCCATTGACTTTCTCAGGAGAATCCACAGCAACATGTGTGCCAAGTTGTACAGATTTGATAGATGAGTTGATCTTGTCTGTCACTTTTGTATGCTTGTCTTGTTTCTAAACCTGTTTTCAACAGTAGATATTAACCTCATGTATCCTGATCTAATTCTCCTGTTATATCTTGGTTTACTGCTGACCACAGTTTGATTTCAGTAAAAGTTAAGTGCTATGTTCTATTTTCAGCTGTGATGAAATGAATTACCATTTAGTTTATTATTGCAGGCAAATTCCACAGGGAGTTGCTTCCATGAGAGCTGGAAACTGGGAGAGAAAGAAGGTAAGATAGTAATGGATGATTCAAATACTCACAAGGAAATCAAGTAAAAAAATTTGTCCAGTATACAACAACAGCAAAATAATAACACATTCCTGGATGCTTCACAGGTGTATTATTAAACAAGATTTGACACCATTATCTCGAAGAACATTTTTGGAGCAAATGGCCATAAATCATAATCAAGGACATAGGTTGTATGGAGTGTCTTAAAGGATTAAAGAGAGCTGGAAGCCAGGGAAGTTTAAGGAGGGAGTTCCAGAACTAGTACACATGAATCTGAAAATGTGGCCAGCTGTTGTGGAACCATTAAAATCAGGGATACTTAAGATGCCTGACTTGGGGGAACATAGCCATTTTGGAGATTCTAGGGCTGGAGAAGAGAGAAGAGAGAGGTAGGAGGGATGAGGCAATTGAGGAACTTGAAAGCAAGGATGAGAGTTTTATAATTCACTCATTTCACCAGAAGGTAACTGAGTACAGGCATAATGGATAAATTTAATTTGGCCTGAGTAAGTTCGTGCATACAAATGACGATAAAATTCTATTCAATTCTTTACTTTCCTAAGTTGAAGTTCTTTGCTGGAATAGAAAATTTGCATTGATTTCAAAAAGTCCTAAGGAAGGTTATGGGTTCAATCCCCTTCCAGGCACCTTTTACAGGAGAGACAGTAGTGAGTGGCATTTGGTAATGCAGAGCCTTATCTAATGTGCTGGAGTCATGGGTTCAAATCCCACGATAGCAGATGGTGAAATTTGAATACAGTAAAATCTGAAGTTAAAAGCTAGTCTAATGGTGACCATGTAACCACTGTTGGTTGTTGTTTAATAAAACAAAATATACTTCACTAATGTCCTTTTGAGGAAAGTAAATCTGTCATCCTGGTCTGGTCTGCATGTGCCTACAGACCCATAGCAATATGGTTGACTCTTAGCTGCAAGCCTATTGAGCCACTCATTTGTATCAAAGCCTGAAGAAAGTAACAAAATTCCCAGCAACACCCTACACACTGGCAACAATGATAAATGCAACCCTGTTGGCTCTGCAAGGTTCTCCTACATAGCATCTGGAAGCTTGTGCCAAAACTGGGAGAACTCTGCCACAGCTTAGTGTAGTCATTGTCATGGATTCATACCTTACATTGTCCCAAAAATCACCATCACCTTCCCTGGATATGTCCTGTCCCACTGGCAGAACAGACCACCAGAGGCAATGGCACAGTGATATATGGCTGGAATAGTTAATACAGTGTGGAGCTGGAGGAACACAGCCGGTCAGGCAGCATCAGAGGAGCAGGAGAGTCGACCGTCTTGTTGAAGGTTCTAGGCCCGAAATGTCGACTCTCCTCTGCTGCCTGAACCTGCTGCGTTCCTCCAGCTCCACACTGTATTGACTCTGACTCCAGCATCTGCAGTTCTTGCTATCTCTGAGTGACCTATAACCCCACAGTGAAGCCTCTTCCAAGGAAGCCCACCTTGAAGAAGTTGTCCTCCTCCCTCTGGAAAGACTTTAATGGATCTGTCTCCCACTGCAACCCACTGGTGATCTCCTCCACCCTGAAGGTCCTTGACCACATACTGAAACAGACCCGGTACTACAGCCACAGCTCCTTTCTCAGTACCTGTCTATGCAGCTGGAACATCCCCAACGGACTCCAAATGATGTTCAGACCACCCCATTTTGGTCCAAACTGACAACTGCTGCCTACAGTACATTCAGAGCCTCCAAAAATGGTTTTCTCTACTGATCCTCATCTCCACACTCGCAGCCACGTACGGGCATCTCCTCGCTCTACAGTCCACCTTACCCCGGCTCAGAGCCTCTGTCTCTCAGGCCTGCAAGGGACCTCTTCTGTTTTTCATTCTGCACAGGATCCACACTCTCAGCCAACACTTTTTCTCCGCCCTATGAGACATCAAGGACCATGAGTACACCAAACTTGCTTGTGCTTACCACCAAACACAGACCTCCTCCACCACACCAGACCCCAACTCTATCCAGAACCTCGTTCTCAGTTTGTCTGGCACCACTAACCATGTGGTCACCTTGGCCTCACCCACTGATGCCGTCGACCATGTCACTTCCTCTGGTGATTTCACTACCACTGACGCCGATGATGTTAGTTTTTTGCTTCCTCCTGACCATCCCCATACACACACCCACTCCCGAGACAGTCTCCACCCCCACCCCTGGCCACACCCCCCAACCCCGCCCCCCCCCCCCCCCCCCCCCACCCCCTCCCCCCCCCCCCGCCTCCCCACCCACCCACCCCGCACCGCCTCCCCCCCCCCCCCCAGGCCTCCCCCTCAAAGAGGCTGAACAGTCAGCCCACAGCAAAGGACTCCCCTTCGTTCCACTGCACCCACACATCAATGAATTCTGTTCACGTCTGGATATTGAACTCTTTTTCCGCCGCTGCCGCCTCCATGTCTATTTCTTTGACCGGGAGTCTAACCCACCCTTCTCCCACCTCCAACCCACCCCATCCTCCTCCTACCCTTCCTCGACCTCTTCATCTCCAATTGTGAATGCGACGTCAATCGCCTTAATCTCTCCACCCCCCTCACTCACTCCGACCTCTCCCCATCGGAACTCTCAGCCCGTAAATCCTTGGGTTACAAACCTTTCAAGAGGGGAAATCTGATTGAAACTCTGAATACTGAGAGGCCTGGATAGAGTGGACGTAGGGAAGATGTTTCCATCGGTAGGAGAGACCAGGACCCAAGGATACAGGCTGAGTGAAAGGACAACCTTTCAGAACTGAAATGTGGAGGAATTTCTTCAGAGGGTGGTTAATCTGTGGAACTCATTGCTGCAGAGGGCTTTGGAGGTGAAGTCATTGAATGTATTTAAGATAGTGACAAGTTTTTGATTAGTAAAGATTACGAAGGAGAAGGCAGAAGAATAGGGTTGAGAAACATACCAGCCATGATCAAATGTCACAGCAAAATCAATAGGCCTAATTCTGATTCTATATCTTATGGTTGGCCTGGGGTCTGTATGAATTAGTGATTAATTTCTGAAGTACTGTTTGAGAAACTCGGGGGGGGAAAAATCATTAGGAGGTTAAAAAGTAACTTTTCCTTCTGTTCTGTTAGCACTTTCATCTGTTAATTGTAAAAATATTGACAATATGAAAATGGTATGTAATTGGCAGTCATAGAGCCATGGAATCATACAGCACAGAAGCAGACCCTTCAGCCCAACTCGTCCATGCCAACAACATTTCCTAAACTGAACTCGTCCCATTTGCCTGTGTTTGGCCCCTATCTTTCTAAACCTTTCCAAATGTCTTTTAAATGCTATAATTGTACTTACCTCTACCACTTCCTCTGGCAGCTCGTTCCATATATGCACCATCCTCCATGTAAAAACGTGCCCCTCAGGTCCCTTTTAAATTCTTCCTCTTATGCCCTCTAGTTTTGGACTCACCTTTCCTGGGGAAAAGACCTCAGTTATTCACCTTATCTGTGCCCCTCATGATTTTGTAAATCTTTATAAGGTCAAAGATAATCGATCAAATACCCACGGCATATCTGATATTGAAAGGTAATTCACTGCAGGAATGGACCTGTTGGGCAACCAGTGGTTGGGGTACACTGGTGGGGCAGTTAGAAGTCAGGGTTCATGTGATAAAGCCTCTGGGAATGCATCCAACCTTTATTACCTGCATTCGGTGAGGGCATATAGAGTGAAAAGATGAGTGGTCGACAAGCTCATTTTGATACTCTGTAATATGGACTAGAAAGTTCTAAGTCCATAGTACTCAACCTTATTGTACATCACATTTTGCAACAGTGGTTTAAGGTGGAGGTAGGAATAAAATCACTGACAATTCAGTAGCCTTGCCGAAATGTGAGCATTTTGCTGAAGTCAGTTAAGAAATGGCTCAGCTGTAATGTCCTCTGTGCTGCACAGTCTAATAGCATGCTGTGGCTCAACATGTAGAGATCCTGATGGATGGCTGATATGAAGTATCTGTATACAAGTCATCTTCTTCAGAAGAACAAGTAGAAGATGGGAAAAATAAATACAGCAGGAGTTGTACTCGACATTTCTCCTGTTTTAAAGTTTGACTCAATTACATTTATCTTGGTTTTGATTTTACAGTTCATGGGCATGGAGTTGTTTGGGAAAGTCCTTGGAATTGTAGGACTTGGAAGAATTGGCAAAGAAGTAGCAATCAGAATGCAATCATTTGGAATGAAGGTAATGCTGCTGTATGATAAGGTGCAAGTCTAACTATCCACATTTCTAAATCGATAAAACATAGCGATGAAAAAATGCTAGAACATTTGCTATGAACTTGCTTTCCTGTGCCTCGATAGATTGCAGTGAAAGGTTTTGTGATGGAAATTTGCATAGTCAAATTGTAATGATCGAATTGATCGTTTTGCATGCTTACACCCTATCATGAAATAAGAGAATGTTAAACATTCAAATTTATTTAAAAGTAAGCCATTTTGTCATAAGATAGAATATCAAACATTGTCATCCATTAAAACTGATTTTAAGTAAGACATGTATCTAGTTTTTATTCGTGCTCTGAAAATAAAAATATTTCTTTTCAGTCACACCTAAGTGGGGTGTAACCTAGGGAGCAATGCTAGATTGATTGCTAAATTAACATCCTGATCGATCATATGAAAACTTAGTGATCTGTTTTGCCTGTATTGATAATAACTATTAATTTCCACTTGTGTATAGCCTTTGCTCATTGCTTTACAATAAGCTTCTGAAATACTTGCAAGATATCTGGATAAAGGCATGACCCTTGGAAGAATGTGGCTTTTAGAATAGAGTTGAACTCTGAGCTGTAACTGAAGCATTGGCTTACCATAGATCCTCAGATTTCCTCCAAGTTGAGCCCAAATTGAATTAATAAAGAGATCCAAGGTTTTAGAGTAGATTTGTACCTCGGGTTGTGGATGTTGTGGTTGGTTGGCTCGCCAAGCTGGTTCATTGTTCCGCAGATGTTTCATTACCCTGCTGGGTAACATCATCAGTGCAGCCTCCGATGAAGCGCTGTTGTGTTTTCCCGCCTGTGTTTTAAACTCTGGTGTCCATTGAGCTGGATTACCTCACGTCCGGTTTTCCTTCGCAATGGAGTGTATAAGGGGTCTAGCTCTGTGTTTATTGATGGCTTTCTTAGTAGAACCAGACTTCTAGGAATTCCTGAACTTGTCTCTGCTTCGCCTGTCCCAGGATCCTGGTGTTGTCCCAATCGAATTGGTGGTTTTCCTTATCCATGTGGATGGAGATGAGTGAGTATTGGTCGTGTCTTTTTGTTGCTAGTTGATGTTCATGTACTCTTGTGGTTAATTTTCTTCCTGTTTGTTCAGTGTAATGTTTGCCACAGTCTCTGCAGGTAATCTTGTATATGACATTGGCCCTGTCCATTGTGGGTAGTGGGTCTTTGGTTCGGGTGAGCAGTTGGCGTGGGGTTGATGTGGGTTTGTGTGCTACTCTGATGCCCAGTGGTTGTAGGAGTCTTGTGGTCAGTTCAGATGTGTTCGTGATGTAAGGTAGTGTGGTGAGTGCATCGGGGCATGTAGTATCTTCCTGGTGTCGTTCGTGTAATAGGCATCTTCTGACCCAGTTTCTCGGGTATCCGTTGTATTTGAATACTTGGAAGAGGTACTCTTCTTTTTGGTGTAGTTCTGTGCTGCTGCAGTGTGTTGTTGTCCATTTAAATAATGTTCCCTAGCAACTTCATTTGTGTGTGTTCGGGTAGTTGCTGTTGAAATTCAGTACTTGATCAGTGTGTGTGGCTTTCCTATGTACCTTTGTTAAGAATTCCCCATTGGTCCTGCATTCTACCATGACGTCCAGGAATGGGAGCTGTTTGTTCTTTTCCTCTTCCTTGGTGAATCTGATCCTGGTGAGGGTGTTGTTTGTTAGCTCGTGTGTCTCCTCTAGTTTGGTCTGTTTAGTAATGACGAAGGTGTCATCCACGTAGCATATCCGTAGTTTTGGTTGGATTAGTGGAAGGGCCATGCTTTCAATTCTCTGCATCACCACTTCAGATATTGGTCCAGAGATGGGTGATCCCGCGGGTGTCCCCTTGATCTGTTCATATATTTGGCTGTTAAAGGTGAAGTGGTTGGTGAGGCAAAGGTCCAGTATCTTCAGCATGTTGTCTGTGGAGATGGTGTCACTAGGGTCTTATTCTTGTTTCAGTAGTGTTGCCTGTGTTTCTCTGAGAAACATTGGCAGCACTGCCTGAGACAGGTGAAACAGAGACAAGCACGGGAATTCCTAGAGGCCTGGTTCTCCACTAAGAAAGCCATCAGTAAACACTTAGAGCTAGACCCCATATACACTCCCATTGTGAAGGAAAACCGGAAGTGAGGTAATCCAGCTCAACAGACACTAGAGTTTAAACGACAGGCGGGAAAACACAACAGCGCTTCATTGGAGGCTGCACTGATGATGTTACCCAGCAGGGCAATGAAACGTCAGCGGAACAATGAACCAGCTCGGTGAGCCAACCAACCATAATATAAAGAGATCATTGAGTGTGTGTGTGTAGTTTGAATAGACTAGTACTAAACTTCTACATGTACAAATTTTATGTATGTAGGTTTTAGAACTTTGCGCTATTATCCACTCTGCAGCTGAAATTATACTGATTTCTAAAATGCCGTTGTTGGTCTTTGTTTTTCTCAGTAGAATGTGAACAATGCTACCATTGAAATGTTGATAATGGGCATTCAGTAATGCTTTTAATCTGTGGTCTGATAAAATAAAATATAGAATTGATTAATATAAAAACATTAATTCTGTTATTTTGAATAAATATTGCTGTGAACGAAGGGTTCTCCAAAACAATGATATGTCATTAATTTTATATTGACAAGCCTATCTTTTCCTGTTGATACACATTCCCAGCAGTTGAACTTGCAACCAAAAAGAAAGTTCTGTTTGTACTACCAAGTGCAGATGGATTACTGTCTCAGTAATTCAAAAAATAATAAAAGACAGACACAAAACAGGCTTGCATTAGGATGCTGCCTTCCACACCCCAGAGCAGTACTGACTGCTGCACTTCTCTTCCTCGCTCCCCACTGCCACTGGCACGCACACACACCCCTACCACCTTTCCCTTCCCTCCCCATTCCTTTTCCCTTCCATGCCATTAAACTTCAGTTTTCTGTGAAGCATTTTTGCATCCCTACAGTAAATAGCACATAACCAGACTCTGTACTTTCTTTGTATTTCTGCATTCAAGGGTTACCATTTGGAGCCATTAGTTTATCAAGAATTTCGTACTTGGGGAATTTGTGAAGTTTATTCATTATACTTAGTTCCAGTGCGAATAGCTCATGAATGTATTGTGCTCCCTCTGCCACGTGCTCATGCACTGACTCTCTCATTTTACTGTATTGAGCCTTTAATAAGCTGAGTTCCTGCCTGAAGCCAATCTCCTCGGTCCTTGTTCTTCTCACCACATAACTATCTTAGCTCAATTATTACTGACTTTCAGTGCCTCACTCTACTTGGGTATGACTCCCATCATCATCCTCTCCCCTTCTGTCCTATCTTGGTCATAAAGCCTTAAACTTTCTCTGCCATACAAATGTTGTATAGTGAATGGGAATCATCTTGTCATTCAGAGATGTATAGCTGCCTAATCTCTGTGGAACCCACATGAATTTCAATTCTGACATACATTGAAATTGTGAATTAAATCAAAATCAATGGAAATTTTGTAATTATTATTTCAGACCATAGGCTATGATCCAATAATTCCTGCTGAAGTGGCTGCTACATTTGGAGTAGAATTCCTGGCTCTGGAACACCTGTGGCCACAATGTGACTTCATCACTGTCCACACCCCTTTAACGCCATCTACCAAGGGTAAATAAATGTTCGGTCTCTCAAACTGCTGTGCGTTGATTTTTCAAGGCATTCTTGTGTGGTTATGAAATTTAATGATTAATTCAGGTGGCAAATAACTTACTTTAAATGATGAACTACCCACCTTCGTGGAGACCTATCTTATCAGCCGCAGCAGCAACACAAGTACAAGGGAGGTCTCTGAATAATTATTTTAATCGATTAGGTTTTGAACAAAAAGTGATCTGGTTGAATTTTTCCAACCCCTTTAAACATCACAAGATTTAAAGTGAAAAAGGAAAAACTGAAAAGAAATAAGTCGAGTAAATTTTTAAGGTGATGTGCATAGTAAGTCGGTCGACATCTGCAATGGGTATAAGGCAGATTAATGGTTCTGCAAAGGCTTTATTGCCAAAGTATTAATAATCTTTTATAGATTTTAGACCATGATATGTGTTGCTTTTTTATTCTAAATATCCTGCTTGTAGCCTGCTAAACCTAGTTTTCTTTACATATGGGCAAGCCAAGTTTAAAGACCAGAGCCCATTGTGCAGATATGTCACATTTGAAATCAATAAAGAACAAGGAGAAAACCGATCCTGAGCAGTGATGATAAAACTTGACTAAAACCTAGTCTATTAAGAGTTAAAAGCCTGTAATGAAGGAAGGACTGCTGTTCTTCTATAGTAAAGCTATAGAATGAGAGAAGTTCAGTCATAGTTGTGTACCTGGAATTTAGAAAATTAATAAATTCAAAACTGCTCTGATCATATTAACATCTATAAATACAAATGAGGTATAATAATTGTGACAACAAGAAGTCAAAGACCAGGAAGATATTGGTCACTTTATTTTTTTGTTTCATCCACGGGATATGGTCATCAATAGCTAAGCCTGGATTTTTTGGGCCTGGAGAAAGTGATGGTGAGTTGCCGCCTTGAACTGCTGCAATCCATTTGGTGTAAGTACACTCTCAATGCTGTTGGGAATGGGTTTCCAGGTTTTTGACTCAGTGATAATGAAGAAATGGCAGTATGGCTAGAAGTCAGGTTGGTGTATAGCTTGGAAGGGACATGCAGGTGGTGGTATTTCCATGCATCTGCTAACTTTGTCCTTCCAGATGGTTGAGGTTGCAATATTGGAAGGTGCTGTCAGAGAAGCCTTGTTGCGTTACTGCAGTGCAATTTGAAGATGGTGCACGTTATTACCACTGCAGTGGTAATGAAGGGTGTAAATGTAGACCAGGATATATAGGGTACCAGTAAAGTATGCTGTTTTGGCCTGGATCATGTCAAGCTTCTAGTGTTGTATTCCGTCACACTGCTGACTTATTCCTTGTAAATGGTGCACAAGCAGTGGGGAACTAGGAATCAAGTTGCCACAGAATTCCAAGCTTCTGATCTGTTCTTGTAGCTGCAGTATTTATGTCTGGTCCAGTACAATTTCTAGTTGATGGTAATGTCCTTGGTGTTGAGAGTGGGCATGCTATTGAAGAAGGAGCAATGGTTAAATTGCCTCTTGTTAGAGGTGGTCAGTGACCAGTGTCTCATCAGCTTCAATATCCAGGGAAGTTCTGAGCATTTGTGCAGTCAATTGTGAACATCCTCACTTCTGACTCTATGATGGAATTGATGAAAGATTTGAAGATAGTTGAACCCAAAACACTACCCTGATTCTGGCTGTGCTAGAGGATCTGAGCTATGAGGAAAGATTGAGTAGTTGGTGGTGTTGTTCTTGGAGCAGTGAAGTTTGAGAGGGGACCTGAAAGAGTAAGACAATCAGTAACCAGTGGGGGGAATGGATTTAAAGTAAGTGGTGTAGCATTAAGAGAAGAGTTGAAAAAAAATTCTCACCCAGAGGGGTTGAAGTCTGGAACTCACTGCCTGAAAGAATGTATTAGTCAGAAACATTCAAAGCATTTAAGCAGTGTATAGTTATTCATTTGTGTTGTCACAACCTATGGGCCAAGAGCTGGAAAGTAAGATTAAGGTCTTTGTTGACTGGCATGGATACAGTAGGCCATATGGCCTCCTCCAATGCTGTAAATATATTGAGTCAACCACAACTGTCTTCCTTTTGTGTTTGGTATGACTTCAATCAACCAAGGAGCGGAAGTAATCTCATTTGGCCCGTAGAGCCTGTTCAATAATTCAATCAATTCATTGAATTGTTCATTCAACCCTGTTCATTCAATAAAATCATGACTGATCGACTTGTGTTTCAAATTTCACATTTCCATCTACATCTCTGAGAAATCTATTTGTGTGACAAGATCCTGGGTTTAAGGTTTCCTCTCCAATCAATTTTGTTTATTTTCAGTGTTCGTACAGAATTAATAGTATTGTAAGAGTCATTGTGGCTCAGCTAGTAGTCTTCACCTCTGAAAATTCATGTTTATTCCCCTATGGATGTAGGTTTGTAATCTAGGCTATCCCTCAAGTAGACTGCTGTGGGAGTTGAGTAATGCCCTGGCCATCAAGGCCATGTTTGACCTGGGGGGTGTGAAAATAGGGACATGGGCAAGTCTCTAGTTAGAGTCGTACCTAACGCAAAGGAAGGTGGTTGTCGTTGTTATTAATCACCTTGGCTCCAGCACTTCTCTGAAAGAGTTCCTCAGGGTAGATATTTTCTGACCAACGTGTTCAGTGATGTTATGTGACCCCTCTGGAGCAGGTGGAACTTGAACCTAGGCCTCCTGGCTCAGAGTTAATGACGCTACCACTGCACCACAAGAGCCCTGAGTTCTTCAAGGTAATGTCCTAGGCCCAACCATCTTGAGTGCTTCATCAATCACCTTCCTATGCTGAGTGCACACTGTTCAGCACTAATTGTGATTCCTGACATGAAGCAGGCCATGGCCAAATGCAATAAGTCCTGGACAATATGCAGTTTTGGGCTGACAAGTGGAGAGTACCATTCACACCAAACAAGTGCCCAGAAATGACCATCTTCAACAAAGTAGAATCTAACCGTTGCCCCTTGACATTCAATGGTATTCCCACCCCACTAAATCTCCAACTCAAATCAATGTCCTCAGTGTTATCATTGACTAAAAACTGAACTGGACTAACCATGTGAATACTGGCCACGTGCAGGTCAGAGGCTTGGTATCCTGTAATGAGTGACTCACTGATTCCCCAAAGCCTGTCCACCATCTACAAGATAACCCCCTTGTCTGGATGAATGCAGCACCAACAAGGCTCGATCCAACACACAGCAGCCTGCTTGATTGGAAACACTTCTAGTGTTGATTTGGTTGACAATCAAAACTCAGCGGCAGTATATGGCATCTACAAGAGTGCAGAAAATGCTGAAATAATATATACTAGTATAATAGTATAAATAGTATAATAAAAGACATGGTAACAGAACATTTGGAAAGCATTAATGGGAATAGGACAAAGTCATCCTGGGTTTAAGAAAGGAAAATCATGCTTAATAAATTTATTGGAGATTTTCGAGAATGTAAATAGTAGAATAGACAAGGGAGAACCTGTGGATGTGATGTATTTGGTTTTTTCACCAGGAACACAGTCTCAAGATATAGGGCACACTCAAAGCAGAGTGTACCTGTGGAATTCTTTATGCCAAAAAGCTGTGGAGGCCAAGTCACTGTATTCAAGCAGGATATAGATAAACTTTTAAATTTCAACAGCATCGGGGTTGCGAGGAGAAGGTGGGAATATGGCATTGAGAGAGAAGATCAACCATGATTCTGTCGAATGGCAAAATGGCCCACTGTTGCTCCTAGTTTTTAAGATGGACTGCAGAAATTCACCAAAGCTCTTTCGACAGCATTTTCCAAACCCACAGCCACTCTATTAAAAGGACAAGGATAGTAGAAACACCTGAATGTTATCACATGCTCGTTCCTCTCCAAGCCCCACACAATCTGGACTTGGAAATGTATTGCTGTTAATTCAGTATCACTGGGTCAAAATCTCCTGGAACTCCCTCCCTACAGTATTGTGTGCCTGCTTACACTGAATGAACTGTAAAAGTTCAAGAAGGGAACTCACTATCACCTTCTCAAAGGCAAGCTAGAGTGGGAAATAAATGCTGGCTCAGATAGGAACACTCACATCTCATAAATTAATAAAACCCCTTGGATGGATGTTAGGGATTCCATGGCATGAATTGGACAACTTTTGGTTTGCTTCTGCAATAGTCCTGAGGATATGATAACTACATATAATAAATATATTGATTTTCTTGTATAACATGTGAAGATAGTACAGGGATGTTGGGACTGTGCTCTTCTAGAGGAAAGAACAGGGAAGATTTGATACTTTTTTTTTTAAGAGTCATGTGGGGTCTACACAGAGCAGACAGGGAGAAATCTCCTGCACATAAAAGGATCAGGAGCCATTGGGCACGGTTTGTGTTTTGCAAAAAAAAAATTGCAATGTGAGATAATCACTTTTCAGTGTCAAAATGCTCTAATAGCCGGTATAGATACATTGGGCTGACTGGCCTCCAGTGTATTTGTAATTATTGATTCCCCTGCCTCGAAAGAAGGTATGTACCATCAGATGTAATTTCACAAATACTTTGTAGAACTGAAGCAAAACATTCTTTCTTTATGTTCAATTCCTCTTTTGATAAGGGATAACATCCTATTAACTGCCTTGATTGTGCACGTACTTGCATGTTAATTTTATGACTCATGCAGCAGAACACCTAAATTTCTTCGCATCCGCATCTTAGAATTTCATTTGAAGTAATTCTCTGCATTTCTATTTTTCCTGCCAAAGTAAACAACTTCATACTTTCTAACATGATATTCCATCTGCCAAATATTTGTCCACACTCAACCAGTCTATATCCATCTACAACTTCTTCACAACGTACTTTCTTAATTATCTTGGTAGTGTCTGTGAATTTAGCTGCCATGCCTTCACTCCCCTCATCTAAGTCATGAATATAAATTGTAAATGTTGAGGCTCAGCATAGGCCCCAGCACAGATTCCTGTGTATTCCACCCATCACCTGCCAATCAGACAAAGACCCCTTATGTGTACTCTGTGCGTCAGCCAGCCAATCTTCTATTCATGCTAATAATTTATGCCCTAAATCATGAGCTTCTATTTTCCACAATATCCTTTGTGGCATCTGATCAAATACCTTCTGGAAATCCAATTGTATTACGTCTACAGGATTTTCTTTATCCACAGTACATGCTACTCTTCAAAGACCTTGAATAAATTGGTTTAGAATGACGTCTCTTTGCCAAAACAATGGCGACTGTTTCCAGTTATCGAGAGTTTTGTCAGGCAGAGCTATAATCTCTTTAATGATCAATTCCAACAGCTTTGCCAATGACAGATGTCAAGCTAACTGGCCTATTTGTTTTTCTGTTTTCTACCACTTTTCCATCTTGCGTAGAGAATTTTCCCCACAATTTCCACTGACTCCAGTTTTTTTCTGTGGTTCCTTGATGCTATACTTAGTCAAATGATGTTGAAGGCTAGAGGACTTTTGTCCATGTTTTGACCAAGATTGTAATGAAGTCTGGACTTAAGTCTTTGAGGAGTGCTAACTGAGTGTCAGTGCACAGGTTTTGATAAGCAGGTGTTTTTGATGGAATGTTCAGTATCCCTTCCAACACTCATTTATCAGACTAGAAGCTAATCTTGTATCTTGGTCACGATTGCTGGTGAACCATTTACAAGAGGTTCTACAGATATGAAGGCAATATTTAAATCTGATAAATACTTCAATTTTGTAGAAAGTTGAATTGTTGACAAAGAAATTTGTGCAAAGTTAAGCATTCTAGAAGGAAGTTCAGCAATGGAGATATTTTTGTGAATAGAGGGAATAGTGAGGTCAGGAATGCTAATAGCAATAAATTGCCTTTGTATAGCATTTTAACATTGAATAGTGTTCTTAAGCACTTCAAAAGCAGGAAGAAAAATACATCTAGAACCAAAGAGATACAAGTGGTATGACTGATATTCTGTTGAAAGAGGTGATTTTGAAGGAGAAAACACCAGAAGGGTTTAGAAATGGAAAGGTTGTAGAGCAAGTTGATTATGGTAGTGGTTAGATTTGGTGGAGAAAATGAAAGAAAGCTATGAGATCTTGTAGATCTGGAAAAGATTAAAAATTTAAAGACAGGATTTAAACATATATTAGACTTTTAAATTTGAGGGACTGAAAAAAACCAAGAGGCCAGGATGGATTAGGGATAGTCAACATGGCTTTGTGCTTGGGAAATCATGTATCACTAACTTGATTGAATTTTTTGAAGAAATAACAGAGGATTGATGAGAGCAGGGTGATGGACATGATCTATATAGACTTTAGTAAGGTGTTCGACAAAGTTCCTCATGGTAGACTTGCTAGCAAGGTTAGATCACATGGAATACAGGAGAACTAGCTATTTGGATACAGAACTGGCTCGAAGGTAGAAGACAGGTGATGGTGAAGGGTTGCTTCTCAGTCTGGGGACCTTTGATTAGGCATGTGCCACAAGGATCAGTGCAGGGACCACTGCTTTTTGTCATTTATATAAATGATTTGGATGTGAACATACGAAGTATGGTTAGTAAGTTTGCAGATGATACCAAAATTGGAGGTGAAGCAGAGAGTGAAGGTTACCTCAGAGTACAATGGGGCCTTGATCAGATGAGCCAGTAGGACAAGGAGTGGCAGATAGTTTAATTTGGATATGAGGTACTGCATTTTGGAAAGGCAAATCAGGGCAGGACTTATACATTTAATGGTAAGGTCCTGGGAAGTGTTGCTGAACAAAGATACCTTGGAGTGCAGCTCCACACTTTCTTGAAAGTTGAGCCATAAGTAGGTAGGATAGTGAAGAAGGCATTTGATATGCTTGCCTTTATTGGTCAGTGCATTGAGTATAGGAGCTGGGAGATCATGTTGCAGCTATACAGGACATCGGTTTGGCCACTTTTTGGAGTATTGCGTGCAATTCTGGTCTCCCTCCTATAGGAAGGATGTTGTGAAACTTGAAAGGGTTCTGAAAAGATTTACAAGCGTGTTGGCAAGGTTGGAGGGTTTGAGCTCTCAGAGGCTGAATAGACTGGGGCTATTCTCCCTGGAACGTTGTAGACTGAGGGGTGACCTTATAGAGGTTTATAAAATTGAGGGGCGTGGACAGGGTAAATAGACACAGCCTTTTCCCTTGGGCAGGAGAGTCCAAAACTAGAGGCCATATGTTTAAGGTGAGAAGGGAAAGATTTAAAAGAGACATAAGGGGCAACTTTTCCAAACACACACCATCCTCTGTGAAATAAGTTGCCAGAAGAAGTGATGGAGGCTGGTACAATCATAACATTTAAAGGCATCTGGCTGGGTACATGAACAGGGAGAGTTTAAAGGGATATGGGCCAAATGCTGGCAAATGGGACTAGAATAATTTTGGATATCGGTCCAACTTGTCTGTGCTGACCAGAAGGGTCTGTTTCTGTGCTGTACAGCTCCGACTTATTGTCACAAGTATACGAGTGATGGCTGAGCAGAACTTGGTGTGACATAGAATATAAGCAGGAAGGTGTTGCAAGAAGTGAAGTTTATGGATTATGGAAGAATATTGAAGTCCTCATGTTTAGGGTTATGTAGGTATGGATGAGGATTTGATATCAGGTGGGCAACAAGTAAGCACAGAGTATAGGGGCACAAACTGTAGATGTTTAGTGTTGGGTCAGTTTTTATAAAAAAAAAAGCAAGGTAGACATTAAACCAGCCCCCACCTGTTCATTCAAAAATATCAATGCTGATAAACTTAACAATTAACTGGATGTAAATGTTCCTCTGAGAAACTGAAATAATTTAAATTTTCTTTGGCTGAATAGGAAGGTTAGAACTCTCTCAAATCCTTTTCATGCATCACCCTTGTGCTCACCGACATAACATTGGCTGTCAGTTAAAGGATGACTCTCTTTTAAAATTCTCATCTTGAGATCAAATCTTCCCGTTGTCGTGCAATTGTAGAAAATAGCTGTGCCAGCTCTGCTGAGAGCAAAGCTGTGCAAATAACTCACTGGGTGGGGATATTGGGTGTTTGGGAGAAGTGGAATGAAGAAGAGTTGTAATCAAAATGGGGGAAAGTGTTAATGCCTTAAGTTGTTAAATTCAAATGTTGAGTCCTGAAAGCTATATAATGCCTCAGCATAAGATGAGCTGCTGTTCCTTCAGCTTGCATTAGGTTTCACTAGAGCACTGCCTAGGACAGAAACATTAATGTCAGAGCAACATGGTGTACTGAAATAGCAAGCAACCAGAAGGTCATTGTTATGGACCAGAATGCAGGTGTTCCTGCAAAATGTAACCCAGCTGTGTATGATCATGCCAATGTAGACATTGTGAGCACTGAATACAGTAGATTAGATTTGTAGGGCTACCTATTTTCCACTGTTAATACCTTAACAGCTATTCTGCATCTATGTCTCTACTACCATTAGCATGAGCTTTGGGCAGCCTCACCATCTGTTCCACTTGCTTCTCCTCTCTCCTCTCCCTTTGTCAATAGCATGAAATCGTCAATTCCCAGTTGCCTTCGATTCAGAAGTGCTGTATGGGACTCAACATGTTAACTGCTTCTCAGTCCACAAGCTGTCAAACCTGCTAAGTTTCATCAGCACTTTTTTTTTTAATTCCATGTCGCCAGAATTTGTCATACTTTGCAAATATGCTGGCAAATAAAAACAGTGTATACCAAAACATTTAAGTAATTGCTAACTTGTTTATGAAACTGAAAACGCTAGCCAAAAGACTTCAAATTTAGAGCTTTTCGTTGTTTCCTGCAATTCTCCTCTTAGTCAATTTGACTGTAGGGCCTAGTAATATCTTGGGGTGATTGTCAATTTATCTGGATTTTGTACATTGCTAAATGATGTAAATATAATGTCTGTTTAGCTGATGCAACGAGCATTTTCCATCAAATTTTGGCAATGTTTAAATGACGTGACATAAGTTGCATTGTTTTTCAGCTCTTCCTAGTCAAGTTCTTCCCTTGGCATTAAAACCTTGTTTTGAGTATTGTTCCGTGGGCACCTCCAAATGCTTAATTTATTGAACAGCTGCAGCAGTGAGTGTCAGTAGATTGTGGGCAGCCAGATTCTGTCCTTTCCTCATCCATTCTTATACTTTCAGCATTGGTCATGGGATAGTGATCCAGATCAGCCATCGGAGCTGAATTTTCCCCCCTTAACCCATGTGACTTCAGGCCAATTGGTGTCCCTACTTCCCCTTCAGCTGATATCGATTTATTCAGCTAATCTCCAAGATGATCATGGTATATCTGGTACTGTGACTAACTGGATAAATTTTTGTGAATTAAGTTGTATTGTTTTGAGAAAGCTTTTCAAATAATCTGAATGATCTAATAATTTGATATAAATCAACAGTTTGGAAGCAGACACTGCAAGTATGAGGGAGCAGAGGGATATACATCCTTGGAAAATAGACGACAGGTTTAGAAAGAGGATCTGGATCGGTGCGGGCTTAGAGGGCCAAAAGGCCTGTTCCTGTGCTGTAATTTTCTTTGTTCTTTGTTCTATGACAAAAATACCTAATTATTTTGCAATATACTTTCATATTATTTATATTATAATATTTAGGTTTGTTGAATGATGAGAACTTTGCCAAATGTAAAAAGGGAGTCAAAGTTATTAATTGTGCTCGAGGAGGTATTATTGATGAGAAAGCGTTACTTCGGGCATTGGAATCTGGACAGTGTGGTGGTGCAGGACTGGATGTATTCGAAGAGGTACGAAGAAATTATATATTGAATTGCCTTTCATTAGAATTGTTGAAGTGTATATTGCTGGAATTTTGTTTCTCTCCTACAATCAGTAATGTATAACAATTTTCAAACTTTGAATTTATTTATTGTAATTGTGTTTATATTGCTTTACATCAACTTAATGCTTCGGTGAATTTCCTTTTGAAGTGCACTGACTCTTGTCACGTAGTTCTGGTCAACTTTGTAGTGTTTATCTTGTGCAAAGATGTTTTTGGATATTGAGTGAAATAGAGATAATGCAAAAAGGTGAAATTAAGGTAGATGATCTGCTATAATCTCATTGAACATCAAAACAGCTTTTGGAGGAGCAAATGACCTACTCCAACTTTTATCTCTTTGTAGCCTTACATACCACTTTACCATTTCCTTCTCTTACTGGAGGAATGTCAGGCTAGAACATCAGCCTTTCTGCTTGTACTCCATGAGCTTGACTAATTTGCCTGAGCAACTGCTGTTCACACATGTAGAGAATCCTGTTGGGGTTGGAAGATGAAGAAGGTGCCTCAAGAAGAGCATTAGTGCAGCATTCAGAAAATGAGAAAAGTGAACTCGGAGTCTATTAAGTGCCTTAAGATCTGATAGGAGCTTTAATGTTGGGCCAATTTCAAACTGAGACATAAAATGTCAGTATTTATGGCTTAAGGAGAATTGTTCTCCTTCGGGGCCGTTTCTCTACAATTAGGGCACCAGTGTTAATTACATTGAAACAAAAACAGAAATTGCTGCAAAACCTCAGCAGATCTGGCAGCATCTATGGGGAGAAAGCAGCGTTAGTGTTTCTGGTCTAGTGACCCTTCTTCAGCAAATTCTGTTTTTGTTTGATTTCCAGCATTCGCAGTTCTTTTTTTCCCCAACTTCAGTGAAAGCAACCTGTACCACACTGATCAATAATTATATCTGGGTTCTTTCTGAATTGTGTGGTTCAGCTATCGACTAGGCAAATGTGCCAGAAACTACTAGTTTAAAAAAAAAAAAAAAAAAAAAATTCAACAAAAAAATGCACAGAAGCAGCAATTTGAATATAATAACAAGCAATTTGCTATAGATATCAAAGTTAGTGAAATCTTGCTACATAACTACCATCGACTATTTGCTTTATCTCGCACGTTCCAAACTTAAAATGTAAAAGTGTCTTTTTAGCCTTTGTCAAAACTTGATTAAAATGGATGATATAAGCACGGTTATGATAACTGTGGGAACCTGGAATGTATCCAAACAGATCTGATGTGTTGAGGTCCAGTATAAAAGGTTATGTAAATATGTCCATGACAACTATACTTTGTCCCAGATAATTTCTAAGCCCTTGTAGCAGCTGTTTTGGGATACAACTGTCCCATAATATACTTATTCTTGGGGTCAGGATATTTATCCCCTGGTAAAATTTGAAATTTATGTACTGTATCAAATTAAGAAAAGAGAGAATTAATTGTTATGTTGGAATCTGGTATGTTTTCAGGACTGTTTTTGAAAAGCTAAGGCTACAAAAGTGAAGCCACAGCTAGATAGTTCATTGATACTTTGTTTGGCACCGAGTGTTGTTTTGCTTCCAAAATAGTCTCTGCAGCATGTGCACATGATTCTGGTGTGAACTGCTCCAGATGCCATTACGATGACGGCTTTAGTGAATGTTCAGTCAGCATCTCCTGAAAGCATATAGAACTTCAGATTATAATGCTAATAGCATGTGATGCTGATTTGATACCTGTGCTGCTTCTTGAAGTTCAGTGCTCAGATCAGAATCAGTGCCAGGGTACTACTTCGTTTGCTGGTGACATTAGAAAAAGTCAGAATGTATGAAACCTTATGGAATGAGCAGAGTGAAAGTTCACAGTCAGAAAGTTTCAGTGCAAGTCTGGATGGTTCAGCATTAACATGTGCCTATTTGGATGGCACTGGAATGTCTGGGGAGGCAGCTAGTGTTGACACAAGCAGGGGATGAATGCTCTGCCCATTTGAAGAGAGTCATTGAAGAAGGTAACAATGCAATCAGAAAAACAAGTTTTTAAAGTTGCTGAAATGGGGCTTTTTTAGAAAACTTGTATTCTAGAGAGAGTGCTTTTCGCAGGAGATGATGATGTCAGGATTTAAAGCTACGAAAAATGGCCTTACAGTTTGGTTTTTTGGGAACGCTGCAGGAGATTCAGTTTTTAAACACTTAATGGCATACAGGTCCAAGAACAAGGATGTTGAGGCATTACACAAAGGAGCATCTGCATGACATATAGCAATCTAATAAGAAAGCTTGGATTACAGGCCCACTGTTTCAGGAATGGTTCTGTCCATATATCATCCCCACCTCCTGAAGAAGAGCCATATCAGACACTCGATGTTAACTCGCTTCTCTCTCCACTGATGCTGCCGGACTCCTGCTCTGAGTTTCTTGGGCATTCTGCATTTTTGTCATCCCTGCAAGAAGGGCATATTGTGAGAAAGCTAAACGTGCCTTCAAGATATTGCTTTGGTTGAATAATTGCCTGGGTCATCTCATCAGCCTTAATGAAGTCTATGAAAATGTGAAGATGCTTTTCCTGCCACACAACACAATTTCATCATTGAGATATAGTAAGAACTGCCGATGCTGGAGTCAGATAATACAGTACGGAGCTGGAGGAACACAGCAGGCCAGGCAGCATCAGAGGAGCAGGAAAGTTGACGTTTCGGGTCGGGACCCTTCAGAAATTCTGATGAAAACAGAAGCCTGCTGTGCTCCTCCAGCTCCACGCTGTGTTAACAATTTCATCATTGCTCATGAGTCAGAGTAGCAGCAGCCTTCAAGGCCTAGTAACTTCACTGTACTTTGTTTAAACTCAGCAAGGCAAAAAATAGTGTGCCATCACTGAGGGAATTTTGACGTGGCCACAACATCCTCGACAGCATGGACAGTATTGCTGACGATTGGAGTAAAATCACATCAATATGCCTGAACAGTGTGTGGCAGAAATTGTGGTCCAAGTTTGTCAGTGGCCACAAAAAGCCTTTGTCGTCCCTGAAGTTCAACATAAAACCTTGACCTTGGCAAGGGAAGCTGGCTTTGATGAAGTGAATGAAGCTGATGTGGTGGGATTCTTTGCATTCCATGGACAGGAATTGTTGAACGAGGTCTCAATGCAGTTCAGGAATTAACATGCTAAAGAGGAAGGCATGTGCTGAAACACCACCCATGCAAGTTTTGTCAGAGACAACTGTCAACACCTTTCCAATCACTGGTGAGCTTATGAATGTGTTCAAGCTCTGAACAAATTGCCACAGGGCTATCACCTGTGATGAAGGTTCACATACATTATTATTGTTGCTTGGGAAATTGGTTCTAAAGTGGAGGAAAATTGATATTAGGTCTCACTTAGTTCTGAGGAAGGGTCACCAGACCTGAAACATTAACTGATTTCTCTTTACTGCTGCCAGACCTGCTGAGCTTTTCCAGCAACTTCTTCTGTGTTTCTTTTAGATTTGACTTGTTTGGTTTCAGGCAGCCAGAAAATCATGGTGAATTTCAAACAAAAAGGTAACTTCAAGAAGTCATGTGACTAGATAAAGAAACCGCAAGCTAAAGAAACCGCAAGCTAAAGAGAGAGCAGAAGCCCAGATATGGTTACATTTAGAGACAAGTGGTATTTCTCACCATTCTTCATTATTATCAGTCCAAGCGTTACAGAGTTGCTTAAAAGAAACCAGAAACACGAGGCGACAGAGGAAGACAACCTCCAAAGCTATGGAAGATAAGGTTAAGGAACCTACGTTATGTAGCAAGTGAGCTGAGTTACCAGCTAATTTAAGAGTCTGGGCAGAAAATATCATCGACTGAATGCAGAAATTGCTGACAGCCCTGCCAGCTGAACAAGGAGATTTAGTGTGGAGATGACCCTTCAATGAGGTTTGAGTAATGTTGCTTTGATAAAAGGATCAAATCTTTCTGATATTTTTGTAACAAGATCGTTTTGAATAGTTTGTGTTTTCATTTTACAGAATAAACCTTTATATTCTTTTGTTTAAAGTACATCGACAGTTTTTTGTGAATATACTCTGACTGATCTCCGTGGTAAACAATAGGTAAAATTAAGGCCAGGTCAAACCCTGGGATCTGACTTGTCTTGTATTACCTCAGTTGGGATCATAACACATCTTGTCAAGTCACCCATAGTATCTTATATAATCAATTTTTCTCACATTTCACGTATAGACTTCAACCATTCATCTGGTAGTACTGAACTTCAGTGCTGATAAATACTTTGACAGAATGTATTTTTGCCTTCCAGTCGTCAAGACAATTTACAAGAAATATCAAAGTAAAAGGAAAACAACATTTATCCTGCGCAATAGCTAAGTTCTGATTTATTGGCAAGTGGGCTCTGATTGGTAGTGTTTCAATAGGGAATGCACCAGTTATTGATGCCAAACTTTGTTTAAATTTTAATCGAGAGATTAGCTTTGATTAGTCGTGGCATTGCCCTGAGAAATGAACCAGAGAATGGCTGTCACCTATTTTGGTAAGTTGAAACAGGCACAGTGTGCATATGATCTTTTTGTCTGTAAGGAATAGATACCTGTGTTAATATGTAGCCGCCAGCATATACAAGTGCTCTAAACTCAGAGGCTGACTGACAATCCTAAGTTAGTTGTTGGCATAATTCTTCACACAGTCAGAATTATGTAGCCCATGATGTTATCTTGTTTGCAGAATCTGATCTAATCTGAGTTTTGCAAGCTTGGGCTGGTTGGGTACTGTCAGCACCTTACTTGCAAAGAGACAGGACAATATACTGTTTGATACAATCTGCCAGTCTTTGGGATGTACGGCTTACATATCTAGCAACGAAGTTCATCTACCACATTATTTATTTGTGACTATATTGCTTGAAGGAATATCCTGTTAGTGGTGCCTCTTCTATTGAGCAGAACTTTTATCGTATGCAGTCTTTGCAGGGTAGGGGATTGTCTTATTTTTAAGGAAGGTAATCAGAGTACTGTTTTCAAACACAAAATAGTGAATATTGGAGCTTTTTGTATTTTAAATACATGTATGAAATGCCCTCTTTTGGCCTTTACTAATCAGAGTTCGCTTGCCAACCTGTCACCACACTCCTCTCCCACAGTATAAATGTTGTTTTTCCCTTTTACTGTAGTTCGTCTTGTGAATTGTCTTGGTGAATGTAAGACAAAATCCTTGACAAAATGCTTTTTTACAACAATCCTTCACTTCTGTATTCTTTCCTCCTCATTTTCTCACATGATCACTTTTGAATTTTCTGTATAGGATGGGTTTATAGGTTATAATACTAATCAAAGAATTAAAATATTGATAATTACATTAATTCACCACATTAACTTACCAATACTATACACTCTATAAAGAATAACCTAGATATAATTATTAATTTCTCAACATTCTCTTGTAATAATAAAAGCAAAATACTGCAGATTCTGGAAATCTGAAATAAACAAAATGCTAGAGAAGCCCAGCAGGTCTGGCAGCACCTGTGGAAGAGGAAGTCAAGAACCAGGATCTTATCAGGCCAATAGAATCACATCCATCAGACAACAAACTTCTGGGGAAGCCTCCTCTGTGTGGTGGAGATCTGAAGGAACTAAGTGCCTTTCAGGAATTTAGGTGGCCACTGTAAGGCTTTTCATGATTGAATTCACCAAAGGTGTTAGTCCTTCCTGTGGAATGCTGCACACTAATCAAAGGCTAGTGGCTCATCATTGCCATCAATTCACATTGAAGTGGTGACAGCTGGTGGTCGTGCACCCACTATAGGTCCAGGTTCATTATGGGATCACCGGCCCATGAGGAGTGAGGACTGAACTGTTTTTAGGGGAGAGGATTGCCTCAGTAATTCTGCTTGACTAGGGCTAGTGTGGAGAGAATATATGGTGTTGATTTTCCCAATTATTGATAAAATGTCTAAATTCTTCATTTGTAAATTGAAGATCATTGTGTCATGTCAGGATGATGTGTTTGTAAGCAAACTAACATCCTTTTTAAGAGATAGAAACAAGTTTCAGGAAGATGCTTTACAGAAGCTCTTGATCACATTTGCACTGTCACTTTGTCCCAACCAAGCATTGATTAAAGTGCTCAAATTGAAGACAATAGCTAGGTGCTGTTTCTCAATTCGAGAGTGCAACATTGGCTTAAATGCTGTGGATGAAGATACAATTGGTTATCTTTGCTGCATAAAAATTTTATCAAGTCTTGTCTCACCTGCATCTCACAGCAAATTACTTCTTCATTTGTCTTGGTACCTTAGTATTAGTGGTGATGTCAATGTTCTCTCGAATTGTGTGGCTGTGCAGCTGTTGAGAGTGTCAGTGCCATTCACAGCATTGACTTCCAGATGTTGCTTCTGCACATGGATCTGAGATCCAAGCAGACGAAAATACAATTGGCTGGAACATAGGTTGTCACCAATAGTTGCTTAGTTCTGGGGAAAGCTGCACTTTTTTTTTTCTCTGCTCCAAACTACTGCATATCTTTAGCAGTTAGCCTGTGTAGAGGCTCACATCTTGATAAAATAGGCAAGAAGTTTCCTATATGCTGCTTGAAACCAACAAAAGGCATTTTGTAAACATTAACTTGGTGCATATTTGCCATAGAACTGAATGAAAAGAAAAGGCAAAGTTGTATATAAACAGCTTTAAAAAAATTCTATGGATATTGCATGACTTAAATGGCGTCCAAGAAAAATGTTTACAATATGCTAAAACTGAGAATTGCTGGCAACATTCAATGTTATTTTGTTCTAAATTACGCATTCCCATTGTTATCTGAATTAAGGTTGTAAATGTTTGATGTTTTCAATTGCAGTGAATACTGCTTTGCTTTCTGTAGTACAGATGACAATTTCCATTGGTTTTTAACCATCAAAAATGCAAATAAAGAATCCTGCAGTCTCATTTTAAAGTTTGGTATTTTATGTTCTTGCTGTCAGGAACCACCCAAGAATCTTTCTCTAGTGAAACATCCAAATGTAGTCAGTTGTCCACATCTAGGTGCCAGCACCCATGAAGCCCAGAGACGCTGTGGAAAGGACATTGCAACTCAAATTGTGGACATGGTCACGGGCAAGTCATTAGTTGGAGTGGTATGTAGCATTGCTGCTATGTTATTTAAGCACTTTAAACAGGAAAATTATCTTGTAAAACTGAATGGAAAACATGAAAATGTCTTGCAATAAATGTCATTCAATAAAAGTATTTACATCAAGAGCAGCATAAAGGTTTACAGGTTTATTTTATCTGTAAGCAAAGCAACTACATAGAGAAAGTTATTTCAAACAGTTGGAAGTGTTTTAAAATATTTGAGAACTTGATTGTGAAACTTAATGTTTTAGCCTTTTATTTTATATTGTAAGTTGGTATTACTTTATTTTTAATGTTAGAATTGACATTTTTCTGTGTCCTTTGTTAGATTAATGCCCAGGCTCTTAGCCATGCTATGACCCCTGAAACCAAACCCTGGATCCAGCTTGGGGAAGCACTAGGTTTGGTGGCAAAAGCATGTACTGGACAAGGAAATGGTAAAATCAAAGCACAAGTTACAACACTAGGTAAGAGACATGATTTGGAAAGATATTGTCAGCAACCCCTTTTTCTATAAGAACTTTGCACCCTTTTAGCTGGGCTGTGTGGTCATGGTTGATGTTGGTGTAATGACATTAGTGTTAAAAGGGAGTTGATCTATGAAACGACCTAGTTATAAGTAGTCCTTTAAGTCTCACTTGTACTTTCTGGCTCCTAACCTGAATCCAGAATGTAAGCACACTGTCACTTATTTTGGGATCCAGGATGCCAAACGTGTTGTTCCCCTAAAAAATACTGGTCATAGCTGACCCTAAATTTTACTGTATCTGAAGTAATCACCTACTGTTAAATTTGCCCAGTAACAACAAGTTTTCAGTTAAAAAACTGTGCAGATTCCTGGATGATTGGTTTTCTAATTTGTATTGTGCGGAATAATCCAATATATTTTCCCTAACTGATTTTCGTTTTTTTTTTGCTATCTTGACTCCACTTCCATGGCTTGGCGAAAGAACACAAATATAATGCCTTTGGCTGTTTGACTTGCAAATTTAAGTTGAATACTAACATTGTTGACATTGGAGCAGAAGGATAATTGGCTCTACCCACATTGAGAGTCACAGCAGAAGGCATAAAAACAAAACAATGATTTTTAAAAGAATATGATTACTATTATGAAGTTTTTTTCCTGTAACCTTTAAGGCACATTCTTGAAAAATGCTGGGAACTGTGTTGCCACAGCTGTGGTAGTAGGATTGCTTAAAGGAGACTTGGAAAACCATGTCAATCTCATCAATGCATCCCTGTTCGCAAAAGAAGCAGGACTGGATGTAAGTTGGATATTTCATCCTTCTCATGAAAATAATGCCTATTTTTACCTGTTTTTAATTCAAGTTGTTAGAAGTTCATAATAAGAACCTTTTGCATTTACTGTCCATTTGGCAATGAATTGTGTGTTCGTGGTCAGAAAAGCTATTTTCTAAACATCATACTGGATTAGTAGAATTTTTGTAGGTTTTTGGAGTGCATCTTCATATACCAGTTTACTGAAGTACTAGCTGCTACCTGAAAACTTAGATACACTGACCTTTCATGATTTGTACTATTTGCTTGGATTTGCCATGATCTAGCCCATGATGCAGATTAAGAGAAAACAAATAACTTAGATGCTGGAGATTTGAAACAGAGTGCTGGAGAATACAACTGATTGGTCACTGGACTCAATGTTTAGCTGTGTTTTTCTCTCCACTGATGCTGCCAGACCTGCTGAGTTTCTCCAGCACTTGCTGGTTTTGATTTTTATGCAGATTAAAAGAGCAGGCTCTCCTGTGCCAGCAACTTCTTAACACTGGTTGACTTTAAGATTGTCTGCTTCTGTCGCTGAGAGTGAAATGGCTACAATAAGCACTCAAAACCTCCATCTAATGAAACAGCTTAAAGGTGGAAGTTTGTGGCTCTTTTTAGAGCTGATGTTTTTCTTCAATAATGAAAAGCGACCAAGCAATTTGAATGGAGGTGGTTGGAAGAGCAAATGCTATTTCTCCTATGCATCAAACTTGACAAATTGAAGAGGAACTTTTCTTGTTGCTGCTAAGGTAGATTATGTATACGTTTTAGCTTAATTTTCTAACAAGTTGGTGTAGGAGGCATTTTACCAGTAGTTCAGTTTGTATTCTGAATAGAATCATCAAAAAATACACAGCACTTTGACAACTAGCCAAATGCGCGGGCTCCACGCCTTTTGCTAAAGCATGATGTATTGCTACTATCGTAGTTGCTACGTGTGGCAATAAACATTTTATGCACTGCAAGCACAGGTGTTGACAAATTCTATGTTCACAATCTAACCATTTAACCTCACTGAATGGAAACTTGGAGAACCTTGGATATTTGTTTGGATGAATTCCTCTTTCCAGTGTGTCCTTTTTCTGAGCTTGCAGAAACAGCAATATTTGCAGATCAGGGAATAGGTAGGTTGCCTAAAATTTAAAGCATCTTTCCACGCAAGCTATTGTTTTCAAAGTATAACTTTGTTATTTCCTCTCTTGTTCTCCTATTGCCTTAGGTTCGCAGAGAGGTCAGCGGCCAAGACCAATATCTAGACTCTGCGTCATCCGTTCATACAGTAGAAAGTACATTCAAACATCCAGGCTTCTACTGCAATCTCAATTAGTGAAGCAGAGAACATAACTGAGAAGAAACAAGTGATGGTGAACTGGAAAATATGCAGTCCATTGGCTAAAGGGTCAGCTTGAAGCTTCCAGAAACTCATAAGCCCAAAATTAGATTTTAGAGGGCTAGGTTACAGATGTTCTGTGGTATAGCATCAGCACAACACTGCTGTTTTGCAGTCTGTTTGCAATATGCAGAGTTTTGGGATAACTGTAGAAGGCCACAAGTGTGCATTATTGTATTTTTTCCTATCCACTTTGCAGCCCATTGTTTATTTCCTCTCCAGAACGATGTGTATTACCAGTGAAGGTATTGAGTGCATCTGCAAATAATGGTTAGTTTGTCTTACAATGCTGGCTGATGATTAACATGAGTAAAACCATTTTGTATTTATGTAGCACCTTTGATATCAGGACTGGAGGCCAAAAATCTTAGTCAGAAAGATAGGTTTAAGGAGCATCTTAAAGAAGGAAAGAAAGACCGAGAAGCCGAGGGCTTTAGTGAGGTAGCTGAAGGCACAGCCATTAATGGTAGGACAATTAGGCAGACAAGTGACTAATTCCTTTATACAATCATCTTATGTCTCTCATTTGAATTGTCTGCCTTCTACTTGTTTCATGGCAATGTTGCTTATAGGATAAAATAAGGCTGTGATAACAGAATAAATCATATTGGGCGTTTTAACAAGTTTCATTCTGTTTCTTCTGACTGGGTAGATGGGCTCCTGACATGGGAGTCATTAGAGAAGATAAGGAAGAACAGAACATTAAATTACACAACAGTAGCTACAACCTGCAAGATAATACAGTTGCAGTTCATTATAAGTTATGAAAGAGCCATTGCATCTTTCATTTAGGCCTAAGCAAGTTGTAGTATATAACACCTCATTATCTCTGCAGGTGGGTCAGATGATTTGTTGGATTATAAGTGCTCAAGTCAGTTCACAAACCAGCATTTTCACTTTCTCTGCAACATTAGTAGCACTTTGGCATCAAATTTCATCACCTGTGTTAAATACAAAGAAATGTGTTGTGTTTCATTACATAAAACTGCCTGCTGTACACATGGAGATGTTTAAAATTCTGCTTTTTGTTTTGAAATCCATCAAACCTGAAATATTCAGAAGAGCAAATAACTTGAAGTTATTTAGTCCTTCATGTAATTTGTATTTGAAGTTTCTGGTCATCTTACTAAATAGAAAACTTGCTTGAATTGGGATGAAATCCCACTGTGGACCTTATGCCAATTCTAGGGTGACATTAAAGTACTGCTGCATTGTTGGAGATGTCATCTTTTGAATGCAGTACTGAAACACGGGTTCTGTTCATCTGCTGGACAGAAGATTTTGTGAAAGAATTTGAGTAAGAACAGTGCTTTTCTGGTGCCCCTTGCCAACCTTCCCAATTATGTATCACTACCAAAATGAGTTTATCTTTGACTTGTATATTTTGCTGCTTGGGCGATCTTTGCAAATTGGCTTCTTTTTGTTTGCCTACAAAACAGGGATCATAATTGATCATAAAGAATTTCATGATGTCCTAATCAACATGTTATGTAAATAATCTTTCTTGCAGATAACTGCTAAGCACAGCGATTCAACTCCAGAATTTTCAACTGACGAATGTGCACTGGAAATTTCAACTTCTGGTGTCTCCCATAAACTTGTGGGCTCTGTACAAGCAGGTGTTCCTGTGCTACTGGAAATTGATGGAGCAGTGTTCGGAAAAGTAGTTCCCCTCAAGGGAAACCTATTGATTTACAAATCTGCACAAAATCCTCACAATTTGGCATCTGTTGTGGGTAAGTAATGCAGCTACTAATTATACAGAATTTCCCTTATTGCCTTTTGACATTTCAGCATCTACATTTATCCACACTTGTTTTCATTCATTCCTCTTAACATGATTGATTAACTCACAAGTTTTCTTATGATGCAAGATTAGGTTAGATTGAGTAGTGGGGATGATGCAAAGAGGCTTCAAGACGATTTAGACTAGTTGAGTGAATGAGTAAATGTTTGGCAGATGCAATATAACCTGAGTAATTGTGAAGTTTCCTACTTCAGTAAGAAGAAATCATGGCAGAAAATTATTTAAATTGGGATAGATTGGGAAACGTTGATACATAAAGGGATCTGGAAGTTCTTGTACTGAAGTCACTGAAAACAAACATGCAGATGTAGCAAGCAGTTAGAAAGAGAAATGATATTTTGGGCCTTTTTATTGCAAGAGGACTGGAGAGCAAAGAAGTCTTTGTAGGTGTACAGGACCTTGATGAGATCAAACCTGGAATATTGTGTGCAGTATTTTGGCCTCCTTTACAGTAGAGAGTGCAGTGATGGTTCACCAGGCTGATTCCTGGGATGACGGCATTGTCGTATGAAGAGAGATTGCTTTGACGAGGCCTGTATTCGTTGGAGTTTAGAAGATTGAGAGGAGATGTCACTGAAATGTATGTCCAAATCTGTCAGAATTACAGACTGGATGCAGGTATGATGTTCCCCTTGACTTGGGTGCTTTAGAACAAGAGGCCACATTCTCAGAATGTAGAGGGTAAGCCCATTTAGGAATGAAATGAGGAGAAATTTCTTCAGTCACAGGATGGTAAACCTGTGGAATTCTCTATCACATTAGGCTGTGGAGACCATGTGACTGAATACATTTTTAAGAAGAAAGCAAAAATTCTAGACACAAAAGGTGTCAAGGGGTTTGAGGAGAGCATGGAAATGGCATTGAGATGGTGCTGCAGACTCAATAGGCTGAATGGCCTATTCCTGCCCTTATTTTCTACACTTCAGTGTTAATGTATGGCATTATAATAAAAACATTTGCTCCATTAGAGTTCAATTTCAACTATCCTGCCTAAGTAGAAACAAAGTACTGAAAGTATTCAGCAGCTCAGGCAGCATTTTACGTGACTGACTTAAGTGAAAGTTTTTCACTTGCTCACTAATGACCATTGATCTGAAACATATACCTTGTTTCTCTCTCATAGGTGTTGCCTGAGCCTGGTATTAGTAGTGTTTAATTCTGAAACTTGCAGGTGCTAGAAATTTGCTTTTATCCTCATTGGAGTCGCAAGTGGAGTATGTTGGGGGTTGAATCAGCATTACGTTAAAATGCTGGATGCTTGGCGATTTGGGACAGACTAGCAATGTTGAGTTGGTTATGATATTCTCCGGCATGAACAATGTTCAGTGTTTTCAGCACGTTCATTCAGGGCTGTTTTCAGGTTCACAGTTGACCTGCTTAATATGCTGCTACATTGCTGTTCTTCGAAGATTTGGGACATAATCAATTTTTACACTTGTGTTTTTTAAATGTCTATTCTTTGCATTTCTGGGCCCACATCTGAAGCTGGGGCCTTCAGAAATAGTCATAGAGATATTCAGCATGGAAACGGACCCTGCGGTCCAAGTCGTCCATACCAACTACGTACCTTAAATTAATCTAGTCCCATTAGCCAGCATCTGGCCCAAATACCTCCCAACCCTTTCTATCCAAAAATTCATCTAGATGCCTTTTTAAATGTTGTTTGTACCAGCTTCTCCCACCACCTCTGGCAGCTCATTGCAAATGTGCACTACCCTCTATGTGAAGAAGTTGCCCCTTAGGTCCCTTTTTAAATCTTTCCCCTCTCACCTTAAACCAATGCCCTCTAGTTTTGGATTTCCCTACCCTGGGAAAAGACCTTGACGATTCATCCTATCCATGCCTCTCATGATTTTATAAACTTTAAGGTCACCCCTCAATCTCTGAAGCTCCAGGGAAAATATCCCCAGCATATTCAGCCTCTTCCTATAGCTCAAACCCTCCAATCCTGGCAACATCCTTGTAAATCTTTTCTAAACCCTTTCAAGTTTCAGTACATCCTTCCCATAGCAGGGAGACCAGAATTGAATGCAGTATTCCTCACAAATGTCCTTCCTATAAAGATAGGGAGGGGAAAGGCAATGAAGGGATTAGAAGACAAGAATGAGAATTTTAAAATGGGTGTTTTGGTAAACTGGGAGCCAGCAACTATCTGTGTGATGAAACAGTAAGACATGATGCAACAGTGTTTTGGATGAGGAGCAGGCCATGGGATGTGAACGATGGACAGCTAACCAGGATTGCATTGCAATGTTTGAGCCTTGAGGTGATGAACACTTGGAAAGTCTTTCAGGAGCAAATGGAAACTCAAAACAAGTGATGTTACAAAAGCAGAAGGAGCGATTCTTTGTGGAGATAATTATGGGTTCAGTAGATCAAGACCGCATCAAAGAAAACTCCAAGATGCAAACAGTCTGGTTTAGCTTAAGGCAGGGGTATGAAATCAATGGTTAGGAAGCATAGCAAAAAGAGATGCGCAACATATCTATAATGCAACTGAATCCTCAGTGTAGGACAGTCAGGTGAAGGCAAGCCATGCCCTTTTTTTTTTAGAGCAGTAACTGCCATAAGCGATAAGTTAAAACATTTATTAACATAAATGGTGCAGAACAACAGTAGGACATTTAATCAGCTTTGCAGTGTATTCATCTCTGAAAGAGAGTCAGTTAAGTGGATAGAGGAATGGCTGATGAGGTAAGTAAATAAAGTGTTGGGGGGGGGCGACACAGTTCGTAGATAGCAAATTAGATATGGCAGCAGGGTAGTTAGGGTAGCAGGATGAATGAGTGAGTGGTTGAGAGGTGATGCTAGGGAGTTGTTGGGTCAGTGATGGAGGTATTCAGGAGCCTATCTGGACCCAAACTGAGCAGGTCAGTCAAGAGCAGTGAGGGGAGGTAGCAGGTGTCCGGTCTAGGACATTTTGGAGTGTAGATCCGGTAAAGCCAGGTCTGGAGCAGTTTGGGGATATCTGTACAGAATTAGGGAAGATTTAGGCAGTTATCCCCTTTGAAAGTCATTTTACTGTCTGAACTGGACATGGTGTCTTTTAACCAGTCCAGTCAAAAAATACACATCTTGCACATTTCCAGCAGTTCCAATTGGAACTGTTTAGACTTGATGAGGTTCAATTTCTGCTTTCTCAGGTAGTGAGTCTCATTTAGCTTCCTTGGGGTTTCAGTATTATGTATTTGATATTATATTACTATTCCCTATTCCATGGATTTCATAATTTTACTTTGGTAAAAATCAAATTTGGTCAAAATATTTGACTAAACTTCCCCAAAAGAGAGGTGCCTATTATGGCCTGTCATTTTTTCCCCTCTTTTTATCCACTCCCCACTTAAAAAAAAATCATTTATTTATAATTGATCTATGCATGGTTAAATAGGACCTGTGCTTCTTTTTTAAAAAAAAAAAAAAAAAAAAAAAAAAAAGTCGTGGACTTGACGTTTGCTCCAGTCCTTGAGCACATGATCGAAGCCAGAAGTTCAATGTAGTACTGTATTTTTGGAAATGCCATATCTTGGGGGATGTTAATTTGAGCCTGTAGCTATCTTCAGGGGAATTTAAAAGATACCATAGCCAAGTTTTGATGAGCAGAGTTCTCTGACCTAGCCAACACGATCTTTCAACTGACCCCACTAAAATAGATCAACAGATCATTCCTTTCGCATACTGTTTTGTTGGAACTTGTCCACTATGTGACTGTGGCATTTCCAGACAACAGCATAGATCAAAAAGTATATCATTTGGCTGTACAATACTTCAGGAAATCTTGGCCCTTATCCCTTAATACCACTGCTTAATTAAATTGTATCTATCTTATACTTAAAATTAAATATAAAAGTAAATCATTTGGCTGTACAATACTTCAGGAGATCTTGAGCATATGTAAGGCACTGTGTGAATACGATACTTCCGTACATGCTACAGTTTTCTCCACCTGTAATGCAATACATAACACCAGTGTATAATTGGCCCACATCCATATGAACACATTGGCTAAATTTTAACATACCACAGGGCAAAAAGTCATGAGTTCAAAATTATAATTTTATGAGAACACAAGAAAAGGAAAAGGTTGTTCAGCCCCTTGATCCTGTTCCACCATTCAAAGAGATCATGGCTGATCTGTGGCCTAATTCCATATACCTGCATTTGGCCCTTATCCCTTAATACCACTGCTTAATTAACTTGTATCTATCTTATATTTAAAATTAACAACTGAGCCTGCATCCACTGCTATTTGTGGAAGAGAGTTCCAAGCGTCTACCCCCCTTTGTTTGTAAAAGTGCTTCCTAACCTGTCTCTGAAGGGTATGCCCCCTAGTTCTAGAATCCCCAACCAATGGAAATAGTTTATCTACTGTATCTTGTCTGATATCTAGTGCAAGTCTGATTATAGCATCTTGGTAGTCAGTGCTCTACTGGAGGAGATGTTAAAGTGCAGGTTAGACATAAAAGATTGCATGACACTATTTGTAAAAAACGCAGAAAAGTTCTTGATTTCCTGGTTATTACCTTTTCCATCAATCAACATCATTAAACAGTTTAATTGAACATTTTGTTTATTGGTGTTTGTGAGACGTTGTTGTGCACAGACTGGCAGTTACATTCCACTACATTAGAATAGTAGACCACATTTTAAAAGTACAGTGGTAATGCACTATAATAATCAGAATCCTGCAATTGCTTCATGACTGCAACTACCGAGAAGAGGAGATTTTAAAACTTGTTTCAGGTAAGGTTGTGTGCTAACCCCCATACTACTAGCAACTAACAGACAGTGGCTATTCACCTCATGAACTATCAACTGCCTTGTGGTGTGAGTGTTAAATTTTAACCAGATAGGAAACTCTTTAACCTCCATCATCTCTATGCCATACCTAAATTAACCACTTTATTGATGTATAAGCAGCAGTTTGCTGCTGACTGCAATGTCATTACTCACTCTGCATTTTGCATGACAATCTCAGTCTTCAGTCTTCAATCTTGCATACTTGAAATTCAGCCCACCCTTGAATGTTGCTAAAACAAAATGGCTAAAACTTGTCCACAAGCTGCATGCTTTGACTCCAAATGCCTTAGTAATACCATAGAGAAGGCAAATGAAGTCAGTCCTGCATTCTGGATACCACTATCTCTGGTATGCCATGCATCATGAGCCATTATAGAAACATGCAACCCTCAGACATCCTTCGAATAAAAGGACAGCCAGTAGTAACCATGGCTGTAAAGTTCCTGGGAACATCCTGAGGAAATGAAAGATGTTATGTGAATGGAAATTTTTTAGTTATTTTCAGAATACTTTCCAGTTATCCATTACACTGTTTTCTGTTGTTAATGTGTTCAGACAATGTAGACAATTTTGTTCTGTGTACCCACAAGCCTTTTTTTTTAATTGTCTCACATGAGAAACTTTGTTGAGCACTTTAAAAGTTAGAGAAAGCTACATAAACTGGATTACCTTCATTTTAGTTGCTAAGGTGCCTTCTCAGAGTTCCATTAAGTTGGTAGGGAATGATTTGGTATTTATAAACAAGCTAACTGTTCTCTATAATAACAAAGTGTGAAGCTGGAGAATCTGAAGAAGGGTCCCGACCCGAAACGTCAGCTTTCCTGCTCCTCTGATGCTGCCTGGCCTGCTGTGTTCCTCCAGCTCCACACTTTGTTATCTCTGAATTCCAGCATCTGCAGTTCTTGCTATCTGACTGTTCTTGAACCCTCCTCTTGTCACATATCATAGTCCTGAAACATTTTCCTGATGTATATTTGTAAATGCTATTCTGTCTCAAAAAAAAAGTATTGCTATCTGAAAAGTCTGTTTCCTTTTTTCAAAATTTTTTGTATATTTTCCTTCTTTTAAAATCCTTTCTTAAAAATATCGTGTGCCTGCTGCATTTCCATTGAATTGCTCTTTTGTATGATCTCACTTTTATTCACGAATAGTTTTTTAAAAGTTTAATGATCCACTTCATAATACCATCTTGGACTAATTTTATCATTTGTCATGGAGTTGATAATGGCTTCAGGTGAAAATAAATTTTCTGCCTGTTTCTTTCTTTTTCTTCAGGTGTGCTTGCTTCAGCTGGAATTCAGATTGAGTCATACTGTGTTTCAGCTGTTTTGGATGGAGAACAGTGGAATATTATGAACATTGCTGCATTATTGGTGGATCTGAATCCTCTTCAGCCATATATGAAAGAGGTGATACAGCTGGCAATATGAGTGATCAAATTAATGTTATATTCTAAAAACCTGCAGCACGGTTTAGAAACAGGTTTGATCAAAAAGTAGCCAATAATTTTACATTACTGAACTTGCACTTCAACAAAGTTGCCTTTTCTTCAAATCTTTTAAAAGAATTACCTTGTTATCAAATAGTAATAATTTGAGTATTAGTAATAAAGTTATCAACTCATGATATCAAAAAACTAACAATCATTGTATAGACTGTACACTGTTTATTCACCAACTTTGTCTATTGTCAGCAACAGCATAAACTTAGTTTTTGTTGCAAAGTCTGTCATTGCAGTAATAAATATTACTTCTAAGCATGTTTGTGTAGTAGTATTATTAGGAATGAATAGCTTCAACATCCAATCACAGGTTTTGTGGTGCAAAAGGTGGCCATTCGGCCTAACATGCCCTGTACAGGCTCTTCAAATGAGCATCATTGCTGAGTGCTAATCTCCTGATGCTTCCCCATACCCTTGTTCATTATTTTTATTCAAATAAGCATCTAATGCCTTCCTGAATGCCTCGATTAAGCCTGCCTCCATCACACCTGCAGGCAGTGCATTCCATCAGTTTGCATTTTATCAATTCTAATCTTCTGAATTCTTTTTAGATAAATTTGGTTAACGTAACGAATTGCTGGTAAATTTGGTGTTACATTTCATGCTTTTTCACAACACATCATGACTATGGCAACTCGTATCATTCAATATTGTTGGAGACAATGTGAAGGAGGCTTTTAGTATCAAATACTAAAAGCTTCGTTTTTTTTTTAAGGTTTTTGGCTGAGCGATAGCACTTCCACATCCTAATCAGAAGGTTATGGATTAAAGCCTTGCTCTGAATTTGAGCGCTAATTCTCGGTTATCATTCTAGTACTGAATGAGAGTTGCGATCTGTTAGATGTGTTGTATCATATCCCAGGGTACAAGAAGAGGGAGGTTCTGCTGTATAAGCCAACACTTGTCTACCAGTAAATGTCCTATTTGGTCATTTTCTTAATTTCTATTTGTGAGGGCGTGACGTGCAAATTGGCTGGCTGTTACATTTCCCTACAATGATTACACTTAAATGACTTTTATTAATAAATTAAGTATTCTGGAAAATCCTAAAGCTGTGAAGTGATTGTCTGTCTGTCTGTCTGTCTGTCTGTCTGTGCCCAGTGCCAGGATGAGGGACATCTGACTGGCCTGAAAGGATATTGGAGAGGATCCAGTTGTTGTGGTTCATGTCAGAACAAACAATATGGGCAAGACTAGGAAAGAGGACCTGTTTAGGGATTATCAGGAACTAGGAATTAAATTAAAGAATGGGTCCTCAAGGGTTGTCGTCTCTGGATTACGACCTGAGCCACCTAACCCTATCGCAAGAAAACGGGAAGTTAAACACATGGTTAAAAGAGTGGTGCAGGAAAGAGGGGTTCCTTTTCATGGGGCACTGACAGCAATATTGGAACAGGAAGGCTCTGTACCATTGGGGCGATCGCCACCTGAACTGAGCGGGACCAATATTCTAGCAAATAGGGTAAATTGGGTGGTCAACAAGACTTTAAACTGGAAAGTGGGGATTGGGGGAAGGTGGGAGGTGGAGGAGGGAAGGATAAAACTCCAAGAAGTATAACGGCCAATGGGAAACATAGCAGTGGGTTAACATTTGTGGGGATGGATTCAACTGCATGGAGAAGTATGGAAAATAAAATGAAAAGAAAGGAGGCTTTGGGAGCAGTTAAAGTCTCCAGAACACACAATAGGACAGTGTTTGGTAAGGATTAGGAATCAAACTTCAAGCACACTGGATAAAGGGATGACCATGAGAAGAGGGATGGTAAATACAGGACTGAAGGTGTATTTGAATGCATGCAGTATACGAAATTAAGGTAAATGAGCTTTGTGGCGCAGTTCAAAATTGTAAGGTTGATGTGGTGGGTATCTCAGATGTGGCTGCAAGGGGATCAAGACTAGGAGCTAAATATCCAAGGATATGCATCCTATTGAAAAGATGGGCAGAGAAGGTGGGGTTGCTTTATTAGTAAGAAATAAAATTAAATCAATAGCAAGAAACAATATAGGGTCAGATGATTTAGAATTTGTGGGAGTAGAATTGAGGAACCACAGAGGTTAAAAATAAACCGTAATGGAAGTTATACATAGGCTTCCAAACAGTAGTCAGCATGTGGGACACAAGATACACCAGGAGATAGAAAAGGTGTGTACGGAAGGCATGGTTACAGTAATCATGGGGGATTTCAATATGCAAGTGAACTGGGAAAATCAGGTTGGTAGTGGACCGCAAGAAAAGGAATTTGTGGAATGCCTACAAGATGGCTTTTTGGAGCAGCTTGAGCTGGAGCCCACTAGGGAACAGGCAATTTTGGATTTAGTGATTGTGCAATGAGGCAGACCTGACAAGGAAGCTTAAGGTGAAGGAAACCTTAGGAGGCAGTGACCATAGCATGATAGAATTTACTCTGCAGTTTGAGAGGGAGAAGGTGGAATCAGATGTAACAGTTTTGCAGTTGAATAAAGGCAACTACAGAGGCATGAGGGAGGAGCGGACCAGAATTGACTGGGAGGGGAGCTGAGCAGGAAAGACAGTGTAACAGCAATGGCAGGAGTTTCTGGGAGTAATTGGGGAGGCAAAACAAACAGCAAAAATTCATCCCTAGGAGAAAGAAGCATACTAAACGGAGGATGAGGCAACCATGGCTGACCAGGGAAGTCAGGGATAGCATGAAAACAAAAGAGAAAGTATATAATGTGGTTGAAGGGCAGTGGGAGACCTATGAGTACCAACAGAGGACAACAAAAAAGGGAGAAAATTAAATATGAGCATAAGCTAGCCAGTAATGCAAAAGAAGATTGCAAGAGTTTCTTTAGCTATATAAAGGGCAAAAGAGAGGCAAAAGTGAACCTTGGGCCACTGAAAAATGACACTGGAGAAGTAATAATGAGGATAAAAGAAATGGCAGAGGAACTGAACAAGTACTTTGTGTCAGTCTTCACTGTGGAAGACACAAGTGACATCCCAAAAATTCAAGAGAGCTGGGAGGGGGAAAGGGGTGAGTATGCTGGCCATCACCAAGGGAAAAGGTGCTAGAAAAACTGAAAGGTCTGAAGGTGGATAAATTACTTGGACCAGATGGACTACACCCCAGAGATCTGAACGAAATGGCTGAAGAGATAGTGGAGGCGGTAGTGGTGATCTTCCAGGAATCACTGCAGTCAGGGACAGTCCCAAAGGATTGGAAAATGGCTAATGTAACCTTCCCCCACCCCCCCAATTTAAAAAAGGAGTAAGGCAAAAGTCAAGAAATTACAGACTGATTAGCCTAACCTTAATCGTTGGTAAGGTTATGGAGTCCATTGTGATGGATGAGATTTCTGAATACTTGAAAGTGCATGGTAAAATAGGGCAAAGTCCGCATGGTGTCATCAAAGTGAGGCCATGCCTGACAAATCTGTTCAAAGTCTTTGAGGAGGTAATGAGCAGGGTAGACCAAGGAGAGCCAATGGATGTTATCTACTTGAACTTCCAGGTGGTCTTTGACAAGGTGCAGCACAGGAGCCTGCTGAGTAAGATAAGGGCCCATGGTGTTAGAGGCAAGGTACTAGCATCAATAGAATATTGGCTGTCTGGCAGAAAGCAGAACCTGGAGATAAAAGGGTCCTTCTCAGGATGGCAGCCTGTGACAAGTAGTGTTCCGCAAGGGTTGGTGTTGGGACCACAACTTTTCATTTTCTACATTAATGATCAAGATGAAGGAATGGAGGGCATTCTGGCTAAGTTTGCATGTGATACAAAGATAGGTAGAGGGACAGGTAGTTTTGAGGAGGCGGGAGGGCTGCAGAAGGTTTTGGTTAGGAGATTGGGCAAAAAAGTGACAGATGGAATACAACGTAGGAAAGTGTGAAGTCATACACTTTGGTAGGAAGAATGGAGGTGTAGACTATTTTCAAAATGTGGAGAAAATTAAGAAATCTGAAGTGACCTAGTCCAGGATTCTCTTAAGGTAAACTTGCAGGTTGAGTCGGTAGTTAGGTAGTCAAATACAATGTTGGCATTTATTTTGAGAGGACTAGAATATAAAAGCAGGGACATACTTCTGAGGCTTTATAAGGTTCTAGTCGGACCACATTTAGAGTATTGTGAGCAATTTTGGGCCTCATACCTCAGGAAAGATGTACTGGTCCTGGAGTGGGTCTAGAGGAGGTTCACAAGAATGATCCCAGGAATGAATGGCTTAACATTTGAGGAATGTTTGAGGACTCTAGGTTTTTACTCGATGGAATTTAGAAGGATGAGGGGGCATCTAATGGAAACTTACAGAATACTGAACGGCCTGGATAGAGTGGACGTTGGGAAGATGTTTCCATTAGCAGGAGACACCAGGACCCAAGGGCTTTAGAGTAGAGGGAAGACCCTTTAGAATAGAGATGAGAAGAAACCTCTTCAGCCAGAGAGTGGTGAATCAATGGAATTCATTGCCACAGAAGATTGTGGAGGCCAGGTCATGGAGTATATTTAAGACAGACGTAGTTTCTTGATTGTCAAGGGGATCAAACGTTACGTGGAGAAAGCAGGAGAATGGGGTTGAGAAACCTATCAGCTATGATTGAATGGTGGAGCAGACTTGATGGGCTAAATTACCTAATTTCTGCTCCTATGTCTTTTGGTCTTCTTTCCGATAAATATGCTACTTAAATGCCTTTGGCACAGAGAACTTAGACAAGACATGTATTAAGCTCTTTATGGCCCTGAAAATTATTCTGTCAGATGGAGTCTGTGGTTTGTGGAGCCTAAGACAGCATCAGTAGCAACTGGCCATTGCACTCATGTTGGAGTAGGAGAAAGGGGTCTTCTGCCTCCAACAGGTTAATGCTGCGTAATAAAAGGAAGGTGATTGCTTATGCAAGGCAATTCGTGCTGATGATGACATTGGTGTTTCTAAGGAAGACAGGGAGAAGTTATTAGAAGAAATTAATGAAAACCCAAGATCTCCTGATCTGAGGTGCAAGTTGAAAATGAGTCCATATTGACCAGGTTTGCACTGGAGATGGTATGGCATGGCCAGAAAAGGAGAACACAAATGCTGGGTCAATGTACTGGGGTTGTTGATTCCAACGTTAATCTGAAGGTGGCTTTTGTGTTAGAGAATGGGGGGTACAGTGGAATTCCTGGTTGAATTGCATTTGGAAACCCAGAAGCCAACTGAGCAGGTCAGAAACAAAAACAGACATTGCTGGTAAAAATCAGCAGCTCTGGCAGCATCTGTGGAGAGAAAGTAGAGTTAATGTATTGAATCCAATGACCCTTCTTCAGA